GGATGATCCTTCTCTGATGAGACTGTCAAATTCTGACCTTGTTGGGATTATGTCTCTGTTGGATCCTAACCAATGCGCCATCACCGCTACTAAGGCTGTGCAGGCGCTTTCTCCAGCAGCTCTCTCGCTTCTTTGATCGATCGAAGCGAGAAACACTCGAGCCGTGAGTTTCATCAGCCCATCACGGCTTATAATCTCTCTGTTCTCCCAACTACCAACAACAAAGTCATCGTCTCCAAACTCAGATAATGGTTTCATGGTTGAATCATCAGACCTGTACCACTGCAAGAGAAATCAATCAAGAGTTAAAAGAAACGTTCTTTCGAAACTGGAAACAGTTTTAGTGAGAATGCATCATACATCAGAGGTAGACTCATCGGATGAACTTAGTTGTCTACGGTCAAAATCGATATCATCACCACCTTCTTCAAGACAGTCCTTCTTAAGAAGAGGTTCGCCTTTCTGTTTAGCAGATCTAAAACTGAGTCTTCTCTTCTTCCAAGACAACATTCTCTTCTTCGCCTGCTCCGAGCTCACTGCACTATTTGAAACCTCATCACAGCAATCCCCGGTCTCTGCTAATGGACTGCGATGGCTGTAGTATATCAAATCATCATCCTCAGGGTTTGTGTCAGCATGAAAAGAGCCTCTAGCCCAATTCGCGTGCCGGAGTGTTTTGTAGTTAACAGGATCAGCCACGCCGCTTGCATTCTCCTTGTTCTCTTCTGATTCATCCGCAGCATCAGCATCGCCGCCTTCATCCAGAGAATCTGTATCACAAGGATAAGAAGACTCGGAGTCAAGACTTCTCTCAGGGCTTTTGCTTTCACTTCCGCTTCCGCTGCTTCCCTCTTTCTTACTAGTCTCCTTTTCCGATGACTGGCGGTTTGACATGCAATGGTTGAAAGTTTTCATCTTTCGCAGGCCTACTTTTACAACAGACTCGGCTTTCTCGGCCTCTGCGGAAAGAGGAGACCACAGAACAGGAAGAGCAGATCTCTGTCTTTCAGGCAATGATTCTTTTGGGGAGAACTGAAGAGATATCTGTACACATAAGTTGAAACTTGGGGTTTAGAGAAACGAAACAACTGTGAATTCATATATCCATCAAAATGAGGAAATCATTGACGCACATGAAGACATGGACTCCGTGCAGATGATGATGATGATGAAGAGCCACGGATCTTCAGCGGCACTTTGACTTGAACATCATCTTCTTTCATCAATGAAAAGTACTCTGCAATGTTCAGTGATGCCTTTCCAAAGCTACGAACTTTCTCCTTCGATCCTTGATTCAGTCCCTACATAAGTCATAACCAACGATTGAAAAACAGAGGAGCTTAAATAAAATCTCCAGGATAAATCAAAAACACCCAATTTTACATGATTCCATTGAATTGGGGATAAATTACAGAGGACCTACATATGCACAGCACAGGCAAGGTATAATTTTAATTCAGATCGATCAGATGATTGATCATTCATCAGAGCAAATTAGCAAAACCATAACAAAAGTGAATAATCACAGTCAATGATTTAAGATGATAGAGAGAGAGAGAGAGAGACTGACATTAAAGACGGTGAAAGAAACGAGCCATGGAAGAAACTCTCCTTCTTTGTAAACAGAGAATTCGCAAACCCTCTTAAACTCTTCGTTCCACTCGACGACGCCGTCGCCGCGAAATCCGCCTTCCTCGGTGAAATTCCGTACGACGGAGCGTTTGAGAGTAACGGTTTTGGGTCCTTTCCATTTGATCTCAACGACCGGTTTCTTCCTCGTCGTGCCTCTCCTCAGACTCTGATCACCAACGGTAGTACTATCGCAATCGCCGACAGAATCCAGACCCTCGAGTTTGTGGACGACGACGACCACGTCGAATTTGACGGCGAAGAGCGGAGGCCACGGCGGCCACCGCATGATCTGTTTCATTTTCACCACCATAGAGTAGCTAAACCTAAGATCGGAGTAGAGAAAGATTGGGATAAGGTTTTTGACTTAGAAAATCGAGATTTCCGGAGCAGAGAATCGGATTTTTAGCAAATGGGCTTAACGGATTTGGTGGACGCGTTCTGATTCAGACGCAAATATTTGAAATTTGGAGAGAGACAGAGAGAGAGAGATGAAAATGAGAATAGAGAAGGAATCTGCATTTGATTCTTTTAGAGTCAACCCTTACAGAGAGGGACAGGCAATATAAAATTGTTGATTATTAGAGATATAATACGTTTAAAAATAATTAAAATTATGATCAAAGTTTGACAAAATTAATATATTTTTTTAATATCACAGCTTTTATATAAATATATATATCGTTGAGAATTTTGAGAGCAGGTGAAACAGAGGATAAAGCATACGTCTTTGTATCCACGTTCAGATTGCAAAAAGTCTTCTTGTTTTTATTAATTTTAAAATATACTTATATCAAACCAGATAATCATAACAATAACACCATTTAAAAAAAAGTTTAGAGGTAGCAACAGTTACCTGTGGACTCTAGCTATGATCAAAAGTAAAAATCTTTTGTTAATTATCAGCATGCCAAATGTTTGACTTGATCTTCTAGTAATTGTTTTTCTGCTTTAATTTGCAGCTAGTCGCATATCTACATTAGACTCTAGAGGCTCTTTAAATCTTGATCACAAACTCACAAGTATGACTTGAATTGATATGCATCTTACACCAATTATTCAGACAGATAATTTCGTCACATCTTATCTGTCATATTAATATATTATATGGTTGTTTCTGATCAGACTTACCAAAATTGCAACATATATTTATTTTCTCTTCTTTGTGTACTCAGAAAATTACACGATCCAATCATGGTTTACCGGGTTTTTTTAGTATGGCCACTTTTTTTCGTTTAACAAGTTTATTTCTCTTTTTGGATCAAGCTATTATCATTTGTGTAGGACTAGAAAAGAGAAATCGAAGTTTGTTTTTGCAAATGTGTCATATTGTCATGTGTATTAGAGAGAATGGTTTCATGACTCATAATATGAGTGCTACGTGACCTTGAAAACTGAAAAGACATACGCCGAAAAAGAAACATGTGTGAAACACATTTATGTGTTCATGCGGCATCTTGTTTTTTTTCTATTTTGGAGATATGATATGATAACTCTAGTATTAACCGTTTTGTTCATATAGATCTTGCGAGCATGGAACACGAATCCATTTAACCCAAAAAAAAAGCTATGGGAAAATAAAAGATGCATGCGTTGATCATAGCTAATTTCTCCAATCCATGTGAACGATAAGGTATTTTAATGTTCCATGAAGGATGATGAGATACTAATGTAAGAAAAATGTTAGGTATGTCCTAATTCAAGAGGTCCTAACTCCTAACTATATGTCAATCACTTATTATAAAAGTCCATACACTAACTCATGCAGTGCTCTCATGATCCCCTTTCATTTCTTCTTTTGTAATGGAAATTTATAAGTGCAACTCAATCCAATGCGAAAAAAATACAGCTCATCAATCAATGTGTTAAACGAAACATAATTATAATACTTTAAACAAGAGCCACTATATATTTGCTTTCGAACAATTAGACCCATAGACCCAAATGAAACTTTATGATCAAAGATAATGATGATCACGTTTTGTGGACTAAAATTGGGAAATCTAAAGGGATGTGACGCAGCTTTGAAATAGACAATTTATTTGTTTATTCGCTTAGAAACTTCACAGCGAATCAATTCAATGTTTTGGTAGCAACTCCTACTGACAAGGCCCATGACAGCAGCGAATGGCTACCATCGGTTTCTATATACACCATTCAGGAGATTGATCAGCCCAAAGAGGTGACGAATGAGCCTTGTCCTCTGAAGGTGGCAACCCTCGACACCATTTGAAGCAGGCTAATACATATGCTCTAAACAAGTACACAAAAGTTTCCCAAAACGCAAGTCTAAGACAAAAGATTGAGAATCCAAAAGAGGGCAAAAGAGTATCTTTCTAGGCTGTGCATTTGCCTTCAACACAATCAACCATAATGATAATATGATCAGAAGAAACTCTTCTTGTCTTTGGCTTTAGTTTTTGTATTTGTAAATAGACTGAAACTAGAGTTTAAGAGCAATGCTAAAGCTTTTCTCTAGTCCCATTTTCAGAGGACCTCCTGTGATGCTCCCTTTGTGCATCATCGCCACAAACTCGTTGTAGTCTATTCTCCCGTCCTGAAAACAAACAACTCCAATTGTTCAACGTTCTCATCATTCAAACCAAAAAATACTCAGCAAGAGGTTTCATTGTAGGCAAGTTGTATCGATTCAAGTCATTATGATGAGATGATAAAAGGAGTGAAGGGAGCTTACATTGTCTTGATCAACATCACGCATCATTTCTTCAATGCGGACATCCTCAACACCAAACTCCTCACAAGCTTGTTGGAGCTCGTCCGGGGTGATATAACCGCTCCCATCTTTGTCAAAGTATGTAAAGGCTGCGAACAAATGGTCCTCTCTCTCTATCTTGTTTAGGTGCAATGTTGCGGCTATGAACTCTTTGTAGTCTATTGTTCCACTGTTGTCCACATCAGCCTGAATGACATATACACAGATTAAACGATGCCTTTCGTTCTCCGAGTTACATGCAAGCAAGGGACTAAAACTTACAGCTTGCATCAAGTCGAGAATTTCAGACTCTTTGAGATTGGCTCCAACTCGTTTTAGTCCTGCTTTAAGTTCTTCGAAAGTTATCTGACCGCTTTTGTCGGCATCTATCATATTAAACATCTCTTTCAAGCCGGCTATTTCTTCTTCAGACAAGCTCTCAGCAATGACCTACAACAAGGCATAAAGAGAGAAACTTAATCTTTCTTTCAACATAACAAGAAGAAGAGGGGGTAGTTTAAAAATCCGCTTACTCTAAGAGCCATTTTCTTGAACTTGTTCATTGCAGAGAACTGCTTCATACGGCTCAGAACAGCAGAATCCAGAGGTTTGTCTGGAGCCACGCCATCGACTTGTACCCATGGATGACCTGTTCAGAAGCAAAACTTCATGAGAAATGGAACAATGGCACAAAAGCACTCTACATGACAATGTGGCTTCATGTAAGACCAGTGAAATCTATGCTCTATGGAATTAACAGAAAGATAGTCACAATGGTTCAGCTCAAAAAGAGAGAGGTTTTCAGATCGGAATAACTTACATAAAACTTGGTGTGCAGTTAATCTTTTCTTGGGATCACGAACAAGCATTTTCCTCACTAAGTCTTTTGCACCTTCAGATATGCTCGGCCAAGGGTCAGATGAAAAGTCAAGATCACCATGGAGGACCTGTTCGAAAATACCTTGCTCGGATTCTGAATGTTCAAAGAAACAAAGATTTTGTTCAGAGCCTAATCAAGACAAGTGGCAGATATCTTTATTTATACATATACAGCACACTTTTTAGTTCTCACCAGCCCAAAATGGAGGAACTCCACTTAACAAAATGTACACAATCACTCCAGCACTCCACACATCAGCTTCCGCACCATAGCTCTTTCGAAGAACTTCCGGTGCTACATAATATGGGCTACCAACAACATCTGTAAACACCTCGTCTGCAAAAGAGAGAAGCGAATCATGCCATTTTCAAGCTAAAGACCAGATCTTGAAAGATGAGTAAGAATGAATGCAAACCTGGCTTGAAGAACATAGAGAGTCCAAAATCAATCGTCTTCAAGAGGGAATCTTCGTCTTTACTAACAAACAGAAAATTCTCAGGCTTGAGGTCTCTATGCATAACACCAAGAGAATGGCAAGCCTCTAGCACCCCAACTATGGTTCTAGTGAGCTCAGCGGCTTTCCTCTCCGTGTAGTGACCACGTTGAATTATCCTGTCAAAAAGCTCCCCACCAGCACAACACTCCATTACTAAGTGCACCGCCACAACATCCTCATAAGCTCCTTTGATGGAAATGACATTTGGGTGACCAGCCAAGTGATGCATTATCTGAATCTCTCTTCTCACATCCTCCACGTCCTCATCGGTCAACAGCTTCCTCTTGGCAATCGACTTGCAAGCAAACTCCTTTCCTGTAGTCTTCTCCACACATAAGAAAGTCGTCCCAAACTGCCCTTGTCCGAGTTTCCTCCCCAATGAATAAAACTCCTTAAAGTTCTCAGTTTTCCTTTGCAGCACTGACTCAGTTCTAAGCCCTGCGATTAACACTCGTCAAAGAAAAACCTCATGTAACAATAATAAGAATAGAAAGAAAAAACATGAACTTTGAGGCAGAAAATCAAAAAGAATAAATCAGAAAATGAGAAGAGTTTCCACGATTGGTTTAGACGGCTAACAAAGCAAATAAATTTGAAACTCCTAACCTGCCAGCGTCCAAGAAACTCGATAGCGTTGTTTTCTAATTCAAGCAAAGCAATTGAACGAAGAATCCAGTAGCAAAACCAAGGTCAACTGTCCAAAAATCCAAAATCCAAGTTAATCTAGTTGGCATCATAAAATCTAAACAAACTCTTGATTCTTGAACATGTGAATTTCTAAATTCTAACCAAATATGTACGAACTTTAAAGGAACATCTAAATTGTCTCAGGTGATTGCCTAAACGAAGAGACTCAGGAAGAAAAAAAACAAGTTTGGAACTTCAGACTGTAGCCATGGAAACAACAGACCAATCACGTTTGATATCCAAAACCACAAAGCATTATCTTTTCACAAGGAGAAAGGTACGTACTTAGCATCTAAGGACGCAAACGATGGACCTAACTGCCTTAACCCATTCATCAGATTACCCAACTGCTTGTCTCGCTTACTCTCCAGCCTAGAACAAGAATTTTCAAAGAAAGATTCATCAGATTATGAAGAATGCTAGTATAAGTCAAAATCAAAATCATCGACATAGAATCAAAATATAAGCTGGGAAAAACTTAAGTAGGTGCGTAATCAATCTTACGTTTATGTCGGCAAGACATCTTAGGGAATGTACATACTCTGAATTTCTTCAATTGTAAGCTTCCATGGAGCTTGAGAAACACTTTGAAATTTGAAGAAATTCGGAAACAAGAATTCTTTTTGCAAACGGAGAGAAATTCTATTTCAAACATAAATTGGAAACAACTCTGAGTTTTCTTTTGTCGGAATCTCCAGTTCTCCATGCCTCGTTGGGATCGAAGTGAAAAATTGTCGGAAACTAGATTTGTGGTCGGGCTGCCCGCGTGCCCGCAAACCCGATGCGGGTTGACCCGCCCAGAACCGACGCCCGTATGGGCCCCGCCCGCTAGGTCGCTATTTTGCGGACATATTTTTTTGGGCCCGAGCCCGCCCTGCAATTGTCCATATGGGTTTTGTCCGTGGGTTTCGGGCTTGACTTACACCTCTACGGATTACTCTTTGTTTTTCCGGGTCAAACTACGGATTATTCTTATTTACTTCTTAAAAAAAACTAAACCAAAACTCCTTGTATATATAACATGAATGCAGATGATTATATAAGGAAACAAATCCCATAAGAAAAAGACAAAAGAGATATTTAAGAAAAATGGTCAAACGTGTGCAACTTGTTTGCCTCATCACATTTGTGATGATCATCATGTTGATTTCAACAGGTAATAAACATTATGACATATGATCATTTCACCAATTTTTTTCATTAGTCGTTCGTATTTGCTATTGACTTCTCATTTCTCAAATAATGCACAATAATTACCATATTAAACTTTTTATTTATCAAATTTTTACCATCTATTATTATTGTTATTTCAGTGAAACCAAAACCGGAAACGAAGAAAAACCTCCAATGAAACAATGTATACTACGACTCGAGCTTGATGCACGGGGTATTTCTCCATCTCTTGAAATCCGGTGCGTTGACTTTTGCGCAGATGCCGGTTACGACTTCGGAAAATATATAGGTACAGGCAAAAGAATTTGTGAATGCACATTAGATGCCCATAAACTACGTTTAAATGGCGAAACATGTAAAAAATAATTCTGATTCAACTGACTACTTGATATTAATTATTATTGTAATAATTGACGAGGTTATCGTCAGTGAAAAGTGAAAATGTTTGATTAAAATTTGGTATATATGTTTGTTGGGTCTGTCTTACAGCTCATATTTCATTGTTTATCTTTGACATGTTTTATCTATTTGTTTCTCAACATCAATTTTTCTTTTCTATTATCTCAAGTATAAATGTATTATAAATTTGGGATTTATGGGTTTGTATCTTGAAAAAAAACATTATAGATATAATATGGAGATTTTATAACTGTGGAGTATTCAATGTACGATAGAATGCAAACACTTGTTTAAGAAAAAACTGAATGCAAAAACTGATCATAACCAGTATCTTTTTGAGAGAGAGAGAGAAGCAAACTTAAAATCCATTCATAAAATTACCTTCGTCTTTGTCTTCTTGATCACGGCCTACTTTTCTCCATTTTAACACCTTTTTGGCTCTTCTTAAACCCCATATTGTATCCTTTTTTATGTCAGCTACTTTCCAACACTTCGATGATCATTGACCCCAACGATCCAGATTCAGTTAAAACTTCAACTAGCAGTAAAAAGAAGAATTTAAATATTAAATCAATGAGGGCACACAAACACAGAAGCTTAGAAGATATGATGTCGGTGATTTTCAGAATTCACAGAGAGACAAACAAACAAAAATATAGCGTGCATAAGAAGCAATGTGTTATTTACTGGATTGCAGTCAACAAGTGTCACCACCATTAGGTCTTTAGGTTTGGAACATCGAATCACCACCACTGGATTGGAGTCAACAAATCAATGGTATATTCATAGAATTTTTTGAACCATATCCGTCATCCGAAATTAGCATATACTTGTCATTCTTGAGATGATAAAAGCCAAAGAAGAACATAGTATTGGTAAATGAGGTTGAGTAGGTTGAGGAGTGTAAGAGGAATTTCCAGGCGTTCTCCTTAACACACATCACAAGGACGAAGAACACAAAGGCAGACAAGCTAGCACGGAGTGTTCGAGATCAGCCTTACAATGTGTGCTACATAAACTCAGTTCCACCGGCTTTGATTCCCGAACCGTTGTAGGAATTTAAGCTGTTGTAAAAAAAAAAGAACATAGTATTGGTAAATGAAATGTATTATTTTAAATTTTTTAATAAGTAAAGAAAATAGAGAACAAGTTCAACAAAAGAATCAATAAAACAATGATTACACAAAGACCAGAAGAAAAAAAAAGATAATAAGAATTTAATCTAATATCCAATCCAAAAAAAGTAATAAGAGATTAGGTTACTAAAATCACGATTTCTTCCAATCGGATTTTTCTTTCTTTCTTGGTCTGTAAAAGTTGTTTCCAGGTGAACTGAATTCTACAATTCAAAAGATAAAAATAACCGACTTTTTTCACTGCTTGCCTTTTCCATGCCATTTCCCCAGAAGATCTTCATGATGATTACAGAGCTTATGTGATCAATGCTGTTGTTGATGTTGATGATGATGATGATGACTAGAAAAAACAGAGCATAGAAGAAGGAAATGCGCCTTTTTTTTGCTTCTCGAGTATTTATCTTAAGCATAGTACATGTACAAGCTATTTGCAGCGGCGCAAGCAATTGAGTTCTCGCTTGGATGCCATGCAAGATGCAGCAACTTTGTCGCGTAATCAAGAGAACTTATATTGCCATCGACTCCGGCACTCTCTGCTCCTGTTTTTCACCCTTTCAGTATTTACTAATTTGACAGCTTAATGAGAAAAGAGGAAGAGAGAGAGACTGACCTCTACGCGTTATATTGCATAAGGATCTGGATGGCCTAGAGGGAATTGGAACATGTCTCCTAAGATAAGGCACACCACAAATTCCATCTCATCAACACTCAACATTGAGAAGAAGGAGAAGATTCAGAACAATAACTCCTAATGGCTTTACTAAGTTTACCTCGTTGGGTTTCTGCTTGCTTCTAAGGTTGCAGTCTCATTACTTCCCGGGGAAACACCAAACACTCGGAACAGATTGCTGGATAGCGTATGAAAGCCAAAAGGAATGGTTATACAATATTCATTTGAAACTGCGAATAACAGATTTAAAAAAAAAAGATGCTCTGTTTTCCTCGGGGCATACCTGTAAGAACCTGTAGCTGCTCGCATCCCATTGCCACTTATACAGCACTCGAACTTGTCAAAGATGGAATCATTTTCATATAAATCACAGAGCTGGAAATGGCCACAGGAAAGGGAATATCAATCAGCTATGCACAAACTTGTCAAAATGCAGCTCTCTCAAAGTATGGGAAACTGACCTTTGGTTTCAAATATTCATGAACCTGGAATGTTGCTACTGGACCTGAGTCCATGTTGATGTCCCATAACTGCAATGCAAAACATAACCATGAGTTCAATTCATCTTACACAAACAACTAGAAACTAGCCATAAGTAGTTTCAAGGGCATATCATATCTAATGCCAATGGATACAATCAAAATATAAACCTTAAGTGTCATGTAGTCACGGCTAAGTAGATATCTTCCTTCTTTTGCAAATTTGATGTCTGAGACTGAAGCAATTATCTCAGTGAAGAATGATTTAGGACCTGTTGCCTCCGGTTCCTCAAACCTGCAGAAACAAGCAATGTTAGCATTTGCTGATAAGTGATAGCACAGGTTATCAAATCCTACAAGAGAATGTTGTCTTTTATATGCTCTCATGCAGCACTATACAGAAACTACAGACTTTGCCAGTCTCAAGACTTACAATTTGGAGTGCGAATCACATAAAGCCGATTGGCGCAGATCAATCAAGCGGATTGAACCTTTCGAACTGCTATACGCTAACATATTGCAATGAGTAGGATGAAATTCTGCTGATGTGATAACCTCTGCACAAAAATGAATACGGTAGTAATTACGCAGGATATAGCATCCACTTGGTTAATATATAATCCCCATAACAGGTAGAGAAGATATTGGACTGAGAGAACAGTAGACCACGGCTTACCAGATAGATCTTCCATTTTCGCAGGCTTGACATCAACAATATTGAAACTTTGATTGCTAATCTCCAGATTCCAAAGATTTATTCGCAAATCATCAGCAGAAATGAATGTTTCGCCGTCACTGATTTTAAAAGAAAGAAAATATTAGGAGCAGAACATTAACAATGAAAGTATAGATCTCACACTAAGATCAACGAGGTGATATATATTCAGCTCTGTGATTTATATGAAAAGCAGTTGATATGAAGAAGTAAGCAAGTGGAATTCCAAATGGGTAAATAACCAACCTATTATTTGAGATTGAATTGATATGATAATCATGAGCATGGGAGTATACTCTTCGACATCTAGCCACAGGGCTCGACTCATAGCTACTTACCTGTATAAGTCAAATGAAGTATTAGTACACAAATGAGTAATATTAAGTACTTTTGCATGACTTAAGAATCAACTCCTAATCAGAGGTAGAGAATGAACTGTAAATTGGTACAAAATATACCACTGGTAGCCGCAGCGATGAGATACCTCCCGGTGGCAATGAGTTGTTCACGTCAGTAACTCCTCCATTCAAAAGGGATGCACTTGTCATGTTTGAATTGCTCGAGCTAGCAATGGTTCCATTTCCTACAGTTCTTGAAGCATCTGAATTTAAATCACAAATTTTCTTGATCTTCTTGTCTTGAACCTGTTAAAACTCACATACGAAAAAAGAAAGGAAAAAATCACCACTACATACTCATCTCAACAGGTTATTGGTAAAAAAAAAGATCCAAAGAGAGACTCTTTACTACATTATGGATGTAGAACCGTCTAGATACAATAAGCAATCCAACAAACAATGTCAATGCCAAAAAGTATCAGCTTTATCGTTGTACATGAGCAAACACAGAGTTCCTATTAAAAGAGTATGTAGTTTTCAGACCAACAAACAAAATATAAAGTAAATTTTCACCTTCCAAAACTTGATGGTTTTATCATTCGTCGATAGGAGAAAAAGAGCGCCATTTGCTGTTTGACACCACCTAATCTTGTTTATCTTCTCCTCTATCTCCAAACTCTTGAGGTAATCAAACTGGTAGACAAGACCCAAGCATGAAAAGACGAACAGAGGCATAGCGCCGTACTGCGAGTAAGAAAACAGAGTAAAATCATATACCTCAGGGTCATGGCTCTGAAACTCTGTTTTATAACGAAACTCAGGGTGCCTCACTGGATAATCTGTTTCTTCAAGATCTCTTCTAGCCCCACTGCTCTGTAATCCATAACACATAACCAAATGTCAAATCTGCATTTTTTCAGAAATCAATTGCAAGACAAAGAGGACATACATTTTTGGCATCGATTCTCTCGAAGAGAACAACCCGCCCTCCACGGTCCCCAGTAGCGAGATGGTCACCGGAACTGTCGAATTCGATTGCTGAAATTACATCAACTGCAGAGGAAACACCAGCTACAGTTTTCAGAAATTTCAGCTAAAATTTAGAATAACATCATCTATTAACCAAACAACGAAATTGAAAGGATTATGCAACCTAATCAGAACCCATTAAGCACAGCCAAAAACCAAAACTTTTCAAATGACACAGATGAAAAACGAAACAAATTTAAGAACCCCGATATAGATCTACATACCCAGATTAAAACCCCTATTGAAATGATAGAGATTAGATCGAATCGTAAGCTAAAATCCAATGTAATCCAAGTCAACCGATGACTAACCTTCGTGAACTTCTTCACCAGCGCTTCGTTCGCCGAATACCTGAGAGAATCTCCATTCCAGAGGCAGAGATGGGTCTGCCGAAGCTGCGACGGCCTCATCATCCCCGTTCATTCCCTCTCTCTGTCACGCTCTCAATCGCTCCGATTCACACACACACACTCCTTCGGATAATATAATCTAATGGCTGATCCGACGAACAGGAATTAGCCGGATCAGAAACCGCCCGAAATCACAGATTCCCGATTGGGAGTGAATCCGATTGAGCTCGCCGATTGGTTTCTCACGGATGAAGAAAATCGATCAAAGGAGAGAGTATCAGATGATTCCCAGATTTCGACAAACAAATAAAATCACACACAGTCCTTTCTCTTTCTCTCTCTCTCTCAACACTTATCAAAATTAATAAAAAAAATCAATGTGTACATATATGTGGTATTATATAATATCCCCAATGTAATATTATTTTGGTTTTACCACATTTTATTATGGAAGGAGTTTACACTTTGCAGTCACAAAAATATTTAAACTTTTAAGTGCATATGAATCACACTTATTTCCAAACTTTTCTTTGGTAAAAAACTTATATCCAAACTTATATAAAACTTTAAGTTTTTTAACAGTGCTGGAAATTAGTGGATGTAATTTATTATTTTTTTGCTTTTTTGGATAAGATTTATGCTCTTTCACAATGTAGAGATGTATCTTTCCATTTAAATCAGTGAACAAGTTCTGTTTTAACATGAATTAGGTGTTTTGCTCGGGTTCTTGTGCGAATATAAATATTTTAAAAATTTTTAAAATTTTAATAAAATACTTGGTAATCAAAGTTCATCATAATTTTTTATTTAAATCCATTAGCTGTCAAATTACACTTCACAGATAGTCAAAAGTATTAATTAGCTGTAAAATTATAAAGGTGATTTCCTTGCACTCTTGCTCAAACATAAATATTTTTCTATTTTTTCTATTTTAATAAAATACATTAAAATTAATCATCAGCATAAAATCCCAAAAAATTGATTGGCTGTCAAATTAAGTTTTATCATATTAGTTAGCTATAAAACAAAATTATGTGTATGAGCAAATACAAATATTTTTTCAATTTAAGGAAAATATTTTTATAAAAAATCATAATAATTTATTAGATGTCAAATTACTTCACAGATAGTAACAAATTAACTGACAAGTATTAATTAGCTGTAAAACTAAATAAGTATATTACTGACGCATTTGCACAAATAGAAATATTTTATAAATTTTAAATTATCCCATACGCAATAAAAATATTTTACAAATTTTAATTTTACCATAAAATCATTAAAAAGTGTTAAGCTGTCAAATAAAACTTCACATACAGGCACCCATATTTGCTATATATATAAAATTGAATAAGTATTTAACCAGCAACCTTGCGAACATACATATTTTACAAATTATTAAAATTTTAATAAAATACATTAAAATTAAACACAATAATAATATCATAATATCTGATTAGTCATCGAATTAAATTTCATTATACAATTATAAATATTGATGAACTGTCGAATTAAAGTAGGTGTATTGCTCTCGCCTTTGTGCGAACATAACAAAATTTAAGGGATTCTTTGAAAAATACCCTATTTATGTTTACATATTTGAAAAATACCCTAGTTCTTTTTCTGTTTTGAAAAATACAATTTTTGTATGTAAAAAGACTATTTTAACCTTATTTTAACAAAATATTATTGAATAATTATTAGTTAAACACAAAATTCGAAAATATGATTGTGAATGATATATTTTGTTCAGTTATTTAAATTTAAAATTGAATTGATAAATCTAGAGAAGTTTAAAATTTGTCTTCAATAAATTTAATTATTTTTGGACCTTACATAAACAACTTTAATATCACATTTAATCTTTTATTCATCAAACATTAACCATAATATTGAGCCACCAAAAAAAAGAATACAAAACTTTTTATCAGATAATTATGAATTAATTTTTGTTATCAGTTTACAATGAAAAAAAAAAAATCCAATAGCAAATCAAAATCTTTTGTTTTTATTTTTTATTTTTTTTTATTAAATAAATTTCGTTTTTAATTAGTTAGACACTTCAAAGTAGGACAAATTAGTCTTTTTACATATAAAAAGTGTAATTTTCAAAATTCCAAAAAAAAACTAGGGTATTTTTCAAAATAAAAACTGATATTAAAGTATATTTCCAAAATTTCTCAAAATTTAATTAAAAACATTAAAATAAAATTTATCATAATTATAATTGATTGACTGTCAAGGTAAAATCCATTATACAATGTAGTTAACATAAATTAAATTAGGTGTCTTGCTCGCGCTTATGCGCTATGAATATTTTTAATTTTTAAATGTTAGTCATGTAACTTACGTATTAGTATTATATTTTATTTTATTAACTATATATGCAACATAAATTGATGTTAAAGTTAAATTACGTGTTGGATTACTAATTATGTATTACGTTCTATGGATACGATAATCAAACATGATGCATAGTTTTCTATTAGTAATATTTACAATCTAGGATAATGTATGGATTTATGTTAGTTGTTAATTTAATATTTATGATGACGTTATCTATTAAGTATTGAGTGTTATACTAATAGCTATGAAATTATGAAACCATAAATCTTGATCTTTAAAATTTTAGAATTTTCACTAAACAATCACAGATCACTGACTGTGAACTCGGAACGACGACAGAGGCCGCCGGAATCTGCCAAAGAAACTTGATTTCTTCATGTTTCTCTGCTTTGTTTCATGTTCTGTCTTTCAACTGCAACACTTGTCAAGAATCTGCAGAAGTATTGTTCATTGTACAGTTAACGTCATGAACACATGCAGAAAACCAACAGAGGTCTTTTCGCACTCTATAAGGTAAGAAGAATACAGAGACTCAATATTGGCTTTATCGGTGGTGGTTGGCGCTAGCTCAACTCGATCGAGTTTGTTGATTAATATTGTTGTTTTCTAAGGTTTGGTTGTTACACAGTTAGATGATTAGTATATATGAAAGAATATAGTGATTTTGGTTAATTACTGAGAAGAAAAACGTTTTCTTAGACCTTAGGATGAAACTTCAGCATCATTTCTCAGTGAGGTATAAAAAGTGAAACAAGGCTTTCTCAGTAAATATGATATTTTGAATATCAAGATACAGACTGAAAAGTGTTACCTGTCTAATGAATAATTTCTTCTGTAGACTCTTGAGAAGTGTTGCTGCAGCTAGGGGTAAACATTAACAATCTGCCAAAGAAACTTGATTTCTTCATGTTTGTTTGCTTTGGTTCATATTCTGGTTAGAATAATAATATGATTGAGAAGAGTAAAGAAATAAGTCTTACAAGTGATCACGCTAAACAACAATACTACATACATTGATACACATAGATTTGATTATGAGTGGACTTCAGAAGTTTATATGATGGAAAGAAAAAAAAACTTTTTGCAAATCTGTAGAATCAATCAACATTTTCATAGAAAGCTGACTTGACCAACCACATGCAGTTGTTTGGTGTGGACCTTTAAATTGACGGTTTTGTCCTTCACCAACAACATCTGGTTTTATGAATAGTTAATTATTTGAGTCTTTGTAATTAATACGTAATAGGTTAGGTCTAGATGACACAAATAGAGAGAAACATTCTCCAATCCTTTCTTTTGCATGTTTTGTATGAATGAAGGAAAAATTGTTGGAGAGGAAAGAAACGTACACAATATTCAAATTAACTAACTTTTTAAAATTGCGAATTGTATCATTTGGAAAACGACATGATACAAGCGTACGTACCGTTATCATTATTCCTACCATACCCAACTAAGCATGCGCCTCGATTCTTGCCATTTTCTTGAATCTGTATTCTTTCTAAATCACTATTGAATCTCTTTATTATTAATTGAGAAATACATTGATAATTTTTGGACCAAAAAACTAATCCACTTATGAAGAAAAAGTGTTTGGCAACAAGTATAAGAAGGGGTAATTTTGTACAAAAAGCAATCAAGTTGAATGAGTTGACTCAGAAATTGAAATAACCCGACCCGAAACCTAATAGATGAACACGCGAATCCAAAAGTTACTTAAATCAGACCGGTTGGTTTTATACTTGGTTTCGAATTATCAAACCGCCGTCATGATCAAAAGCAATTCATGCATATTAAATTAGAGAACCTCATTATAAAGTGATCAAATATATCCAGGTGTTATATCATTTTTTTTAAGGCATTCCAAGTGTAATATATTTGGCGTATCTGCTTTATTAAACTCGCAGTTTAATAGGAAACTAACAATTTAGACAATAAAATCAGAAGAGCATTAATCTTTATATTATTAATTGAGAAGTACATGAAAAATTTATGACCAAAAAACAATCTAATTATGAAGAAAATGTTTGGAACAGATTTATTAGGATCAATTTAGTACATTGTAATGTTTGGATATAAGAATAAGAGAAAAATCTATTTGGATAGAAGAATAAATGGAAAAAATTGTTTGGATACAAGAATAATAACTTAAAATAAACCGATGGTTTAGAAAACTTCCGTTTTCCAGCTCTTAAAAATCTGCAAAAAAAAAACTTAACATAATCTAACGATAATTCCAAATCAATAGAATATGCTTTTTGGATTTTCGGGTTTTTATAGACAAGTTCGGGTTTGGGTGAAAATCTGAGACATAATTTTATAGAGATATAGAAATTGTTCGGGTTTCTTTGAAAATTTCTGTTCGGGTTAGGTTCAATTTTTTTTTCAGTTTAGGGTTTTCCGGATTTTTTGATTTCTGGTTTTCGGGTTTAGATATATTAAAAAAATTGAGTATTTTAAAATTTTGATTAGGTATTGGGGTCGGGTTCCGGGTGAAAAAGTTTCCAGATTTTTTTTGTTCAGTTCAGGGTTTTCGGGATTTTTTTGATTTCGGATTTTCATGTTTAGATATTAAAAAAGTTTGGGTTTTTAAATTTTTGATTAGGGTTTTTTGTCGGGTTCGGATTTAGGGTTTAAATTTTCTACACAAAACAACAACGTCACACCGCACAAACGTGCGGGTACTCTACTAGTTTAACAATTATAATAGACGTACTTAATAACCACTTTTCACGAGAACGAATGGGTGCTTTCAGCTGCCCAACGTCTGGTTTTATAGCATTTTAACGAGGCAAAGGTGTTGCATTATCCGTTTTGGGTGATATAATCGTGGTTCGAAGTATCAAAATATCTGAGAAGTAACTTTAAGGCATGGTTCTTGGCAGCACCAATATGCGGTTCGGGAAGTCGAGAGTATTTCGTCGACTGGGTTTGGTACAATTGCGACAAAACTCTGTCCACTTATTGCAGCCTAATTATTGATAGGTGGAGAAACATTCTAACCATAATTATAAAACTATCCATCGATGTTGAATTCTTTATGTATATATATAAATATTATTGGTTATAAATGCTATGATAAATGGACAATAGCAGTCGTAAAAGATCTATAGCATTTGTGTGGTCAATCGTCTTCTAACAATACTTGCTAGTAAATAATAGATGATGATGCATCATTCCGAAACCTGACTAAAATAATGCTGTCATTATCCAACATTTTTTTCATACTTACCAAAACTAGTGATGATCGTTCACTTTCATCGTGTTTTCTAGTAAACTTATGTGTTATTTGGCAATTGAATATTCATATATAAATTCATGTTATTGAGATATGATTGTTTTTTTTTTGTCTTTTACAATTTTAGTCATAAGATACAAATGTCACAACATAATACATATCTATTAATTTTCTTTAAAAGAATGTTAAAATTGAAAAAAAAAATCTATATAATGGCTATTTATATCAATTCTTTAAATTCTAATAAAATTCTTGATTATTAAACCACTTAGCCTTTTATAAATCCAACTCCACTAATTTTCCCCCTAAAATCCCATCGAAAACAAAAACAAATAGAAGAAAATCTCACTAAAAAAAGAAACTGTGTTTGGTGAAGAAAAACTATTGTCCATTGATTTTGGAGAGAGATATACTATTTATTTTCTTATGTTTGATTATTATCCTTAGTATAACTTTTGAAAAGGTGGGGTTGGTGAAAAATATTTTCATAATTTTCTTATGTTTGATTATTATTATCATCCTAATTTTCCATTTACATGCACTGTTGTTTTGGTTTAATCGTCAACATGGGCCCACTTTTTCCACCAAAGCCCAATCAATATCTATCTCGCTATCTTCACCAACCCACACCTCTTTCACCAAACCCACTTCCTTTATTTCCCATCCCACCCCTGCACTTCTCAACCTTATCATTTGTAACCCATAAGTTCTTTAAATCGATATGTATTGGATTGATTCTCAAATCCGAATTGTAATCGTTTTGTGTAGATTAAATCAAATCAATAATCTACAAAATACCAAATATTAAAGTGGTCCAAAATTTTTTTTTTTTTTAAAGTAACACTCACTGGTCAAACAAAATATAAACTTAACAATTTGCTAGATGTCTTTTCCTCCAAATACACGAATTAATTTGATAATTACAATACCCAATGGATTTACTTCCTCTTTTAATAATTTACAATCTTCTTAATATTTTAAAATCATTTACTATTTTTTTTTTGCTGGAAAAGTGTTTAAGGTAAAACAAACATGAAAATCTAGTGATTTTTGCAATAACACCACAACTGTAAGTCTGTAACACAATATCCATTAAAATTCAGTCAGTAACTTTATCCGTTTATTTCAGATTTTCAGGAAACAAATATGCAGCTTACCAAACCCAACGTTCAAATTGAGAACACATACATACTCTAACGACGTGACGAATGTACCCTCAAGAAAATCAAGAATTACTAAACTGCCCTTTTCACCAACCCCACCGTCTTCTCCGATGAGTCCTCTATATGAGCTCTTCTGATGCAGCTCATGTCTCCTTCAGGCCAAAGCCTAAAAACGCAAAACAGGAAAACACAAATTTTCTCTTAAAAATCAAAAAGTAATTCAAATTCCCTGAAAAAAAAAAGTCTCATTTCTTCTTACAATGGCGCCACAAGAAGAAACGATGCAAAAACAGAGCAGCGACAGTGACGTCATTTTCCGATCAAAGCTACCGGATATTTACATCCCAAACCATCTCTCCCTCCACGACTACATCTTCGAAAACATCTCCGAATTCGCCTCCAAGCCATGCCTAATCAACGGTCCAACCGGACGCGTGTACACTTACTCCGACGTCCACTCCACCTCCCGCCGAACCGCCGCCGGTTTTCAAAAACACGGGGTTAACCGAAACGACGTCGTGATGATCCTCCTCTCGAATTGCCCCGAATTCGTCCTCGCTTTCTTCGCCGCCTCTTTCCTCGGCGCGACTTCAACCGCCGCGAACCCGTTCTACACCCCGGCGGAGATCGCGAAACAGGCCAAAGCCTCCAATTCGAAACTCATCGTCACCGAATCCCGCTACGTCGATAAAATCAAAGACCTCCAAAACGACGGCGTTGTGATCGTCTGCATCGACGACGACGAATCCGCCCCGATCCCGGAAGGCTGCCTCCGATTCACCGAGTTGACTCAGTCAAACGAAATCGACGCTGCGGAGATTCCTTCCGACGACGTGGTGGCTCTCCCTTACTCCTCCGGCACGACCGGTCTACCCAAAGGAGTGATGCTGACCCACAAGGGACTGATCACGAGCGTCGCTCAGCAAGTCGACGGCGAGAATCCGAATCTGTACTTCCACAGCGATGACGTCATCCTCTGTGTTCTGCCCATGTTCCATATCTACGCTCTGAACTCGATTATGCTGTGTGGGCTCAGAGTTGGTGCGGCGATTCTGATAATGCCGAAATTCGAGGTTAATCTGCTTCTGGAGCTGATCCAGAGGTGTAGAGTGACGGTGGCTCCGATGGTTCCGCCGATTGTGTTGGCGATTGCGAAGTCGACGGAGACTGAGAAATATGATTTGAGCTCGATTAGAGTGGTCAAGTCTGGCGCTGCTCCGGTTGGTAAGGAGCTTGAAGCTGCCGTCAATGCCAAGTTTCCTAACGCCAAACTCGGTCAGGTGTGTCTCCATTTGTTTATTCGGTAAATTCGAAAATCATAAGATATTAGATGAATATACGGAATGGAATCTTCTAATTAACGATATCTTATTACATTATCTTTAATTTAGGCAAGAAAAACCATAAAGTTTTTTGTTCTTCACATTATGGTTATAAAATTTGCAGAATCATAAACTCTCAACTGCGCATATAATATTGTGAATTTTAAATGATTTCAAAATTTCGCAGATTAATTAGATAATCTTCGCTATTGGTAACACAATAACATGTAGAATCAAGAAAGAAACATATGAACTTACCAAAAAAAAAATTATATATATATATATATATATATGAAAAAGAATGAAGAAATGTCTTAAGATGAAAACTTGATTAAATCCGAACTTACAGATTTTATTCATTAATGCTGGTCATCAAATTATTAAATTTTAATAAAGAAAACCAAGTATTTAAACACAAACACTAATCTCAAATTTGCTAAATCACACAAGAGCTAAAATTTCAGTCAGAAATGAATAATTTTGTTATCCTCTGTTTTGGAAATGTCTATGCGATCAGGGATACGGAATGACGGAAGCAGGTCCGGTGCTAGCAATGTCGTTAGGGTTCGCAAAAGAGCCGTTTCCGGTGAAATCAGGAGCTTGCGGTACCGTTGTAAGAAACGCCGAGATGAAAATCGTCGATCCAGACACCGGGAATTCCCTTTCGAAGAACCAACCGGGAGAGATCTGCATCCGAGGTCACCAGATCATGAAAGGGTACCTCAACAACCCGGCGGCCACAGCAGAGACGATCGACAAAGACGGTTGGCTTCACACCGGAGATATCGGATTGATCGATGACGACGACGAGCTTTTCATCGTCGATCGGTTGAAAGAGCTTATCAAGTATAAAGGTTTTCAGGTGGCTCCGGCTGAGCTAGAAGCTCTCCTCATCGGCCATCAAGATATCACCGACGTCGCCGTCGTCGCGTAAGTCCAAATTAAATAAATAAAAGCCTTTCTTTTATGAGATTTGGTGACCAAATCGATATCGTTGGTTCAACAATATATTTCGGTTTAGTTAATAATAGCCAAATATATGTTTGTTGAACCAAACATAACTTAGACCAATCGATTGCTCTCGCTCGTATCTTTGTTTAGTCTGCTACTCTGCTTACAGTTTTTGTTTGTTTGTTCTGTGTGATTTTACAGAATGAAAGAAGAAGCTGCGGGTGAAGTTCCTGTCGCGTTTATAGTGAAATCGAAGGATTCGGATTTGTCGGAAGATGAAGTGAAACAATTCGTGTCGAAACAGGTATAAAACGAGTTAGTTATGCAATAGTTCCAGTTCTTGATTTGATTACTGGATGAGAAAATGAACTTTTTATTGAGGTATTATTTGTGAAACACAGGTTGTGTTTTACAAGAGAATCAACAAAGTGTTCTTCGTCGATTCCATTCCTAAAGCTCCATCAGGGAAGATACTGAGGAAAGATCTGAGGGCAAAACTAGCCAATGGGTTGGTGAACTAAGAAAATAAAAAAGAGCAAAAAAGATGAGGCATTGTGTATATACATACAACTGTTTGACCCCAACGAAGGATTGAAAAAAACTCATACAGTCACATGAATCAATGTTTGTTCCTTTTTGTTTTTGTTGTCGTTGTTGTTGTTATTTTGATTCATGTAATGAGCCTTTGTAATAAGGTGGTTTCTTTTTTGGTTTCATGTAACTTGTGCTGGAGAAAACAGCACACTTTTGTTCTTTCTTACATATAATAAATTACTCGGATTATGCAAATCCAATGAAGCTTGCAAGCGTACAAATCTATTCATAACTTTATTCATTAGAAATTCATCCAAGATTTGTTCTTTGCTCTCAAAGACACACTGTGAAGTCAAATTCTAGAAAACCACACAAAGCACCGTCCTCAACACACATGTCCTAGTAAGATGTCATGATTCTCATTGTCCTTTGCAAGAAAAAGTGCTATCTAGTTAACCTTAGAGACTGTAGAAGAAGAGTACAGAACAATCCATTTACATCCTTTGTTTAGCAACAAGACGTAATCAAGCTTTAGTGTAGAACATTATCTAAACCCTGAGCATGAAGCCATTAACCATAAATAGAAAGCACCGTCCTTTTGGGGTAAAGCTTTCAACATGCAAAATTGAGAAGCATAAATGGCAAAAAAAAAGAAAAGGCAAAACTTTTTTCAATAAAGCTAATACATTGGGATACAAGCAAAGTCATTGGCCTCATCATTGCCAATGCCATCACCAAGCATGAGAATTTCCTCATTGTTCTTTCTCTTTCCAGCAAAACCTTAACCCCTAAACCCTCTCTATCCACTTGCGCAAAATTGGACAAACATTTCAAGAACAGTCAACCAAGAAATTCAATCAAGGTAAAAGGAAAGAGAAAACGCTACGTGGTTGGGGAAGACGAAGACGAAGAAGACGAAGAAGATAGAGGACGAGGAGGAGGCAAGAGCTGGTGTAGATTCTGAGGAGACCTGTTTTGACTCGGACTTGCTCTTACTATAAACGGATGCTGCAGAAGCTGAACAGCGCTCCGCCTCCTCGCCGGATCTTTCTGCAAGCAACAAGAGATGAAATTGCGAAACTCCGGAGACGCCGTGGGAGGAGCTTCCGGCGGCTGAGCCATACAAATGGCACACATGAGACTCGCCCAATCACCTTGCCTGCTCACAGGGAAAGGAAACCTCCCCAAGTAAAACTCGAGAATGCTCACACCCAAGCTCCAAATATCTCCGGCGTAGCCATTGTACTGCCCGTGATTCAAATCGGTGTTAATCCGCTCAGGGCTCATGTAAGCGATGGTCCCAACAGACGAATTGCACGGATCCATGGTCTGCGCCAAGATCCGGCTCACTCCGAAATCAGCAATCTTGACGTTTTTGGCCGAGTTTATGAGGAGGTTCGAGGGTTTGATGTCGCGGTGGACGATGTGGCGGCCGTGGAGATAAGCCAATCCGCTGAGAATCTGGCGAGAGAGATCGGCTAATTGCTGCTCCTTCCACACATGAGCGCCTTCCAGAGAGCCTTTATCCATAAACTCGAGCAAAACCTGGATCTCGCTGTTTTGATCGAACATCTCGTGGCATTTCACCACGTTTGGGTGATTCACGTCTCGGAGGATCTCGATCTCTCTGCAGATCTGGCGACGAACGGTCTCCTCGTGGTTCCCGTAGATCACCTTGAGGGCGAACAAGCGGGACGTCGGGCGGTGAACCACTTTGTAAACCGTCCCGCCGGCTCCGCTTCCGATCCGGTTCCCGCGGGACAAATCCGAGTACTTCGTCGCTTCTGAGCTGCTGTTGGAGCTCGTGGAGGAGGTTGAAGACGGTAAGGATCCGCCGGAGGGAGGTAGAGAGCCGGAGGAAGTCGGAGGGAGAGGGAGAGGAACGGCGAGAGAAACGTCGCGTTGGGGGAGGGGTAAGGTGAGGTCTGGACGGCGGCGAGGACGGGTCTTCACCGGAGTAGCTACTGCTGGAGGCGATTGAATCGGTTTCATCTCTTGGAAATGAAATCAAAGTTTTTTCGAAGCTCGATTTTTTCTGGTTTCACGATCTGGAAATTGGAAAAGGTTCGATTTGAAGTTATTATGATGCGTAGTCGTCTTCGTATTCGAGTCCGACTCTTCGTCGTTGTCGTCTTCTAGGGTTTGGCAGGGTTTGATTCGTTCTTCGGAGAGAGCGATCAAATCAGAAGGAAGAAAAAAAAGAGAAAGAAGGTTCGTCGAAAGAAATTGAGAGGACACTGAAAAGGAACGTTAATTTAGAATTTTTGAGAAAAACTAAAAAAGAATATGAAAATTTTCAAAATTGTTAAAATCGAGAAGTGAAGAGGTATCTACGCGGTGTGTAAGCGCGTGTGAAATACTCGCAGGCACTGAAGCCACATGTGTGGTTCACTGGCTTTTTTTTGAGTTTTACTAGTTTACACGTTGTTGTTTTTTTTTTTGTGTTTTTGGTTGGTTTTATGATTAAAATGAAAAACTAGAAATAAAGCGGCTTTATAAAACACTCGAACAATTATAATTTTCCTTACTTGGTTCATGCATGAGAGGGTAAATAAAATCAAACATATTTGGGAATATTTGTATATTTTTCGATATGGATATTGGATACCCAAAATATACATGATACACTGTGAATCATGTCCGTCTCAAATGTTTTTTGAGATTATATGCCAAATTTTAAAACAAATTCCTAACGGATCCCTTAAAAATATATTATTTCTTAAGTAGATTTCTTACTATCCGAAATTTAAGAAAATAATAATACTTTTTATTGACACCCAGCCACCAAAATACACTGTAACTTGTTTCATGTTTTTGTTTTATTTCTCGTAAAATAAAAGCATTACAATGTTATTTTACCATTCATATATATATGTAACATATGCTTATGATTCATCGGAAACATCTCTTCTCTTAACTTATGACAGTGTCTTGATCCTACACACACGTGCAGAGTTTTAAGCTCTTTTCACTGTTCTGTAACAATCAATATCTTGTCTTTAGCTAAGAGACTTCAAAGGCTCTTTTGGCATATTTGCATACAAAAATGTACATAAATAGTATTGAGGCAAAACAAGGAAGGAGACAGTAACGCCTCATGTTTCAACTAAGATCTCTGTACACACTAGGCCCAATGGCTACCCAGATTATAGAATCGGCCCCAAAGGAATTGACTGCAATAATCTTCCAAGTTCTATCCAACTTTCGTCTACCCAATCGCTCTATCCAACTCTGATACATGACCTATTCTGTTTTTTTTGTCAAACTAAAAAGATTGACTTGTGAAAACAGAAATTAAACATTACATTAGTCTATCACACACCAACACATACATAGTAGAAAGAAATTAAAAGCTTGGCTCGTGAGAGCAGAGATTACATATAAACATGAATATGTATGAAGGTTCTCCTAGTGGGGTGGATTGCGACCACCACCATGTCCACTGCTTGATGGCCTTGTAAATATGTCTCCATTTGGCCTATAAATACTCATCAACTTCCTCCCTACAATTCATATTTACATATTAAATTATTAATCAAAATAAAATGTTAGTCAGTTTCAAATAATTTGAAGATGTAAACTAGTGCTTTCAGAAAGTAGGAGAATAGTGTACCATTTTATTACACTAAAATTACATGAACTCGTCCATCAATGTAGAATATTCATGCCATGTCATGTACCGATGTAAGCAACTTAATTATATGTTATGCTTATGCATATGTTATGTGTTTGCATTAAAACACTAACCGGTGACTGAAAGTGATCGTTGTTGTTGATGAGAAGGTAGAGCAGATGCGGTAAGGCAAGGGAGGACACAAAGAAGCAGAAACACAATGACTACTTGACTTAACTGTGAAGAACCCATTTCTCTCTCTTTCTCTTCTTTCACTCCTAGCGTCTCTTCTTTATATATCCAGATGGAGGAGGCAAAAATCTAACAAATAAAATAAAAAAGGCGAACGAAAAAGAATCCAAAAAGGGGGAAAAAGTCAGATTTTTCTCCTCCACTCAGATTTAATTATTGGCCCTCATTATTTTTGTCGCCATCGATGAATGAAATAGAGTAAGAGATGGGAGTAATCATAGAGAGTTCGGCTTTGAATTATTGAGACAAGTGGAGACATCTCATGTTGTAATGTAGTCCACGTAAACCATATCACTATGGATTTAGATCCTGAAAATTGATCCATTTTTTTCCATTGAATTAAAATAAAAATTTGAATATAGTACTGATATTTTAAGTATTGTACAAAAAATAAATGTTGTTTCAATCCATCTCTTTTTGAGGATGAATGTGAGAAAGATATTTGTACTTTTTGTTTTGTTTTGTATACTGCCTTTTCATTCATCAGAAACATCTCTTATCTTAAACTTATGACAGTGTACTCTTTATTGTCCACACATGTGCTGAGTTTTAAGCTCTTTTCACTGTTTTGTAACAATCAATATAATATTGTCACCAGCTATAAGAGTCAACAAAAAAAGTTTTTTGTTGCTTGTTTGCATACAGAAATGTAAAAAGAATAGAAAGGAAACACAAGCTTATGTTTCATTATTAAAGTTATAGTGATGCATGAGTCTCTCTCACTCAAGCTCCATTCCTGACAATTTGAAAAACAAAATTCTTTTATTTGCAGCCAACCACATTTGCTTGCATTCCTCGCCCGTAGGCACGTTATTACTAATCAAACTTGACATCGAACGTTAAAACCTCAAACTCCAGGTGTGTCTGAACGTAAAACTGTCAAGAAAAACAAACATGTGAGAATGTTAGAAATTAGAATAATGGTTTAACAATAATAGTGGTCAAGCTAATCCATTTTCAGGTAGACTAAATAATCACAACCAGATGAAAAAATCATTGTCTATCCTGTATGAGAAATGCAATTATTCAAGCTTCGGAAACATCTAACGTTAGATCTCATATGTTACGTCCAACTAGATGACAATATTGAATTGATTAAATAGAGAATTAGATGACAGTTTCGTAAATTCTAAGATGATTCCTTCGTCTTATAATTCAATCGCATGCCTAAAAACCAAAAATGATCTACGACGTCATATATACTACACACACTCCCATAATTACCCAAAAACAAATCAGAAATCCACGAAAACAACAACAACAAGAACATAAAAATGCAGATCCAACGATCATAGCAAAAAAACTATACTTACTTGGTTTCTCAGCCTTTCCATCAACCCATTTGGAGATGGAGAAATGAACGTTCTCGCGATTTAGGGCTTCGGCTTTAAACGGTTCCTTGAGACAATTCCTTACGTGTTTCGCGCAAATGTTGGAGTACGTAATGTAAGTCATCCCCGCCGCTCTCCAGAACGGAACCGCCGCATTCGATGCCATCTCCGATCTCCCTTTCTTGTTTCTTCGTTCCGAATTCCGATCCTTCTGTGAAAAATTCGCAAGAGCAGAGAGACTGGTTCTATGCCCTAACAATAATATTAATAATAATCACATATTAGGCCCACTGGGCCCTAAACCAATACTGCAACCGGCCCACAAATTAATAACTACACCAATCTTCTATCTAACTTTCATCAACCCAAAATTCAGCGAAATCTCTCAACTTTATTTTTGTCTTTTTGTTTTTATGATTGTTTCTTGGAGTTTACTCGAAGACTGAGCTAAATCCAGATTTGCTGGCTTGTTTTCTTGATTGGTTTAATTGAAATCTAAAGTAAAGATAAAGAAGAAAGAATAGAAAAACAACTTATTTTCTGAATTTCCACGAAATTACTGAAAACTTAAACATTTCCAGTATAAGAAATTTCGTGTATATATCTGCTTTATTTTACGTTTGTTAGTTTCAAAGTTCACATTTTCTTTTGGCTTAACATACATAAATGCAACAAAGAAAAGACAGTTTCACTGACTTTTTTTCAGATGATCAAACTGAAGAAATTAAGAAGAAGCTGTTTAGTAATCAGATAAAGATGGTTGAGCTGACTAAACAGATAAACCAAGACTTTGGATTTTGCTTTAAGTTAATGATTAAAAATGTAAACTTTCTAAAAGACCAAATCCTAATCGTTTTTGGTTTATAGAAACAACACTTGTAATTTCTTGATTTGGTGGGTTTGGTAAGACATTTGGTTTAACTGCCGAGGATTGTGTTATAAAATAAGAGTTGTTGAATCATTTAGTGAGTAACAAACAAAACAAACAATGGCTGAAGAAGCAAAGAGACTTGAGAGACTTAAAGCAATGAGAAGTTTATTAAAAAGTGAGATGGAGAAATCAGAAACCTTTTCATTGGCTTTACACAAGACAGGATCAAAGCTTGAAGAGATCAATCACAAGCTGTTGTCTTTAGAAGCTGACGTTAAAGTAGAGAGATGGAGATCTTCTCCTTTCTCTGATCATATCCGTCACACCATTGCTCCAATATCAGCTGCTCTGAGAGTCTTTGCTTCTGTTCAAGACCTCGAGAGATCTCTCACAATCATGATGTCGTCCTCTGATGGAGTCGTCGTCCTCGGTTATGTTTCCGATGTTAAACGTCTCGGAGAAGCCATGAAGCTTCTCTCAAGCAGCTGTGTTCTTGCTCTTACCTGGCTTGAAGACACAATCGAGTTCTTAACCGAAAACGGAATGCCTGAAGACCATCCTTGCGGCTTACGTTTCAAGACTTCCATAGAGCTTCTGCAGGAGCTGCAAATGGCCGAGGCTCGTGCTTATCTCAGAGGAGGGAGTCTTTACACAGCGTTGGAGAATCTCGAAACAGAGTTTGAGCGGATTCTCCAAGAGGAGGAGGAGGCTTTCTCAGAAGCCAACATGAGAATGTTGAAGGCTATCATCAAGAGATTAGATGCTCACAAGCTGTTATCAAACTGTGTTCCTGTTTACGTCAAGATCCGCATAAAGGTCATCAAGAAACGGTTTCAGATTGATTACTTAGAGAAAACAATCACAGAAGCTGACAATGTACAGGACATTGGAGGAGACATAGATCAATGGAGATTGGATATGGAGATGGCTGTGAAAGAGGTCTACGAGTTTGAGAGTAAGCTCTGCTACCAAGTGTTTGAAGTCAACAATCTTGCGTTGCGTTGCTTTGGAGAGATAGCTGCGAGCTCAACGATCTTGCCACTTGTGAGATTCGGATCAAGAATCAGCAAATGCAAGAAAGATACACCGAAGCTGCTAAAGCTCTTGGATTGTTTCTCTACAATGGACAAGATTCGGAACGAGTTTAACCGTCTGTTCACAGGGGAGCAATGCTCAGAGATACGCAGAGCCACACGAGAGCTGATAAGCAACCTCGTGAACGGCGTCTGCGAGATCTTCTGGGAGTTGCCTTGTCAGGTGGAGCTGCAGAGACCAAACTGTCCTCCTCTTGACGGTGGTGTCCCCAAGCTAGTGAGTGTTGTGACTGACTACTGCAACAAGCTACTTGGGAGCAAGAACAAGCCGGTCTTGTCCAAGATTCTTGAGATTGACTTGGGTTGGAAAAACGAAACGTACCAAGAAGAGCTTCTCACAGGACACATGTACAACGTACTGAGAGAGATTGCTTTGAATCTTGATGCGTGGTCGAGTTCCAACAAAGAGACAGCTCTTTCTTGCATCTTCATGATGAACAACCACTGCCATTTCTCCGGTTTGAGAGAGACACCTCTCGGGAGACTCATGGGAGAGTCTTGGTTAAGCTCGCACGAGCAGTACAGAGACTACTACGCTGCGCTGTATGTTAAAGAAACCTGGGGAAAGCTCTTGTCTCTACTCAACAACAAAGCTCAAGCTGTCTCTTCATCATCATCATCAAGAAAACGAGCTCATCGTGAGTCGATAAAGCGAACGTTACAGTCCTTTGCTAAAGGGTTTGATGAGATGTACAGAGAGCAGTCAGATTGGGTTGTGGCGGATGAGAAGCTGAGATGGAAGATACGTCAAGCTATGGTGAGGACGGTTGTGCCAAGGTACAAGAGCTATCTACAGAGTTACATAATGGTGTTGGTCGAAGAAGATCATCGTTCGAGTGATGGTGGTAAGCATTTAAACTATACTCCAAAGGGTTTAGAGGTGAAGCTGAAGACAATGTTTCAAAGCAGAGAAGAAACAGAGAAGAGAGATAACAAAAATTCTCACTTTTTGGACAAAGTGATTGGTTTGGGGATTACTGAAAAGTCTCACTTGACATTAGAAGCTATATGATGCGAGAGACAGAGTAACTAAACTCGTTCTTGGTGAAAATGATTAAGCTTTAGCCTTACTTGAAGAAGAAGCTGTGTACTGTGTAGTGTAAAAGGTGTAAACTTGACTATTAATGTGATGTGGAAATTGTCAATTGTGGATGATGCAAATGAAATTGAATCGAATAGATTACTGTAAATGTAAATTGAGAGATTTGCAACTTATCGTCTCCGGGTCAAACCAAAATGAAAGAAAGCTTCCAACTTTGCTGCTTTCTAAGAAGAAATTAAGTTACAAGAGCGAACGAAACCTTATTGCGGAAAGCTGGGTGATTGTGTGGTGGTTGGAGGCGGATGGAGTCGCGGAGAGATGGTGGTGGGTCTCAGTCGACGACGGGCCCGACAGAACCGACATAAAAATTAGTTTGAGTCTCAAGAAAAACCGAAACCAAACCAAACCAAACTGAATTTGTATTAACCCTAAAAAAAATGGTTTTAAAATGATTTCGGATTTATGAAACCGAAAAATCAAGGAATATTTATTCACCACATTAATAAAAAGAAATATCAAAGAGACGGGTACAAAGATAAAAGATTTGTAAATATTATTCACCCGATTAATAAAAAAATATTTAAACATAGATTTGTAAATATTATTCTCTCTAAATTCAGAAGGGATTACTTTGGCCGAAAGATACTCTTTAGGGTTTGTGTAACCAAAAAAGAAAAAGAAAAAAAAAAAAGACGAAGGACGAAGGAGAAACGATGGCAACCATCGCAGATAACATCCCTCTTGATATGACGATCGAGATCCTGCTGAGGTTGCCTGGAAAGTCTCTATACAGATTCAGATCCGTATCGAAGACATGCATGGTGTTCCATCATCGGTAGCCGACAATTCACCAACGCTTTCATGTCTCTGGTATATAATCCAAGCACAAGACAAGTCATAAGCTTACCGGAAAAGCCCATCAGCTTGGATCATCATAAATGTTACATGTTCTTGGGATACGACCCAAGCAAAGATCAATACAAGGTACTGCGCCTGGATATAGATATTACCTTGGCCAGAGTTATTGAACATAGTGTATGCACGTTGGGAGGTCTTCGTCGACTGTCATGGAGGAGCATCCAAAGCAATATCCTTTATTCCGGTTTTTAGTTATAACGGATTATGCATTGATGGGGTTGTTTATTTCGTGGCTAATGTGGAACCAAGGAATTATGACTCTAGGACGAGAGTGAATAGTTTTGATGTTGGGTCCGAGCAGCTAAGTCTCATTAAAACACCTGAGAAACTTTCAGGTTTCCTAACAAACTACCTAGGGAAGTTAGCTGCGTATTATGATAATTATAGTTGTTGTACTTTGTGGGTTCTTGATGATGTTAAGAATCAAGTTTGGTCGAAACGGGTTTGTGTCTTTCCTACTTTTAACCATTCATTGTTCATGGATTTTCACCTGGGGTTTGCCGGGATTACTGCTGCTGGAGAGATCGTCTATGTTCAAAAGTGGTTTCGTGATCCTTTCGAGATTTTCTATTACGATTTATAGAAGAATGCGGAAAGAAAAGTTAGAGTTGAAGGACTCGTAGATAATCAATATTATAATGATGGTGTTAAAAACTATTCTTTTGCCTCTGCCCTATGTTGCTATGTCGACAATATTATTGTTTTGTAAGTTTAATTTAAATTGTTATTTTGGTTTCAATCTTCTTCTTCTTCGTTTTCTGCAATGGTTCAATATTTCTTTTTAAGTTCTATTAATTCATATTTACATGGATGTGTACCAAAAGTTGATTGATTTCGTTTAATTAGTTTACGATATATATTCCCTAATGTTTACGTACTAGTTTAGACGATAACACATATTTTATGATCAACACGCACACTACTTGAAAAGGTGACTAGGTGGTAGATGATGCCAATAGTCATTTTGAGATTAAAAAGGGTATGGTTGCTGACTCTAAATGTAGAATAAGGAATCCCTTATTAAGGATCACTTCCGGTTTCTATATAATCATGTCACCTGACTCACCTCCAGCTTAAGCTGAGTTTGAACTCTTATGATGTGTGTTAAAAACTATTTGGTTTAAAAGAACTTTAGATATTGAAAACGTAGCTTTCTTCCAATTTATTTTCCAATGAAAAGAGTTCGATTCAAATTTCTCTTTAGAGTACATGAGATATGATAAATATGTAATAATGGCGTGATAATTTGGGGAACCAAACGGTACAAAAATCTGTCCCACAAAGAAACGGTACCAAAACTTGTGATTAGGAAAAGTGAAAACAATTGAAAAAGACGTCGCAAGAAGTGTTTTCACTTTTCCTAATCACAATTCACAAGTTTTTGTAATGTTTATTATTGGGTGTGTGTAATAATGTAAGATCGTTCCCCTTTTTAAATAGAGGTACATATGGAATACTATATCTTAAATACTAGTGACTTTATTACCGTTAGCGATTTTGATTACACACTTCTCTGCACAAAACTACTCATTTATTATTCACACCTGATTATGAAATATCTCGGAACTTTTTTTTTTGTTTTAAGAAAAAACATCGTTGCTTAATCGTACATTTAAAAAAAATAGAAAAACAAAAACTTAATTCTACTCCATTTGTCAATATTGACAAATAAATATATTGACCAATCATTAATTCAGTGCTTCATTATACTCCATTCTTTAAAAGGTGATAATTCGTTTGACCAAAAAACAAAGGTAATAATTAATTAGAATACAAAAGATGGACAATTAAAATTGACTTTTACATCGAAATGGCAAGTAAACAGTTTGTCATAAATACAGATGAAATTTGTTTCTAAATTTTGGTTCGACAAGGTTGAACTGATATTAGAATCGGTACAATCCGGGTTAATCAAAATCAACTTGTTGAGTTAAACCACCAAAATTCACGGCGAGTGTGTCGGTGGCTGTGTTGGGGTTCGTAGATAGAGAGAGAGCGTCAGGGTATGACATGAACACTGACAATAATAACACCAAAAACAATTATTTAAAAAATAAAATTTTATCTTTTGACAAAATCATCAAAAGGGACTCAGATTTGTGAAATCTTGTCTCTTTTTGCTTTTCTTGTTTTTATAACCTTTCCTAATTCTCCTCAATTTCCGTGAAACCCTTCAAAACCCATTTCCAGAGAGAGAAAGAGAGTGTAAGAAGAAGAAGAAGAAAATGGGTTTGGATTTGAGGCAGGTGGTGGCCGGAATTCTCACCATTACCATGTTCGTGATGCTCGGACAAATGCTTCATAGAGATTACTTTGATGCTGTTCAGGTATTAAAACCAACATGTCTCTTGCTCTTTATGCCGATAGTGACTGAGCTAATTCAGCTGTCGTTCTCTGATCGGTTTTTCTTTGTTTCTGTAATTCGTGGATCGCAGATCTAGTTTACACAATTCTTAGAATTAGCTAGGGATTCTCCAATTAACCCCAATTTCATTAATTTTGGATCGAATTTGGATTTTGCATTGATCATAAAGACTCAAACTTTAAGAGAAAACGATTGAATAAGCTCTGTTCGTCTAATTTGATTGTGAAAGCTTCAAGCTTTTTGTTCTTTTCTATTGGTAGCTAAAATTCCAAATGTGAAAGCTTCAATTCTCTTTAGGTCTTTTTGTTCTTTGATCATAAAGTCTCAGACTTTAGAGAAAACGATTCAGTCAGCTGTTTTCGTCTAAATTGATTGCGAAAGCTTCAAGCTTTTTGTTTTTTGCTATTGGTAGCTAAAATTCCAAATGTGAAAGCGTCAAGCTCTTAAGTTCTCTTTGTTCTTTGATCATAAAGACTCAGACTTTAGAGAAAACGACTGAATAATCTAAATTGATTGCGAAAGCTTCAAGCTTTTTGTTTTTTTTTCTCTTCTATTAGTAGCTTAAACTCCAAATGCTTCTCTGAAGTTATTCTTGTTCTTTGTGTGTGTTTGTGCTTTTACAGGAAAAAGTTCAAGGAGATGCACATGATATTGAATTCCTAGGATCAAAAGTATCTGTTGAAGATGGACTTGTTAGAAGCAGTGGAGGGAATAACAAAGGGCCATGGATGGAAGATAGCCATGAACTTAAGACCTGTTGGTCATTATCTCAATCTGGTACTACATGGCTTGAAACTTTCCTCAGATTAGCTCAGTTTTTATCAATCTCTCTGCAGGTTTTTGATTTGGTTTGCTCTTCCAATGTTTCTGGTGTTTGCAGATGAAGCTGTATCATCAAAGGGTTATGTTACATTCTCCTTAACGAATGGTCCTGAATACCATGTCTCTCAGGTATAAAGTTTTCGCCTTTCCTAAAGATTTGCTCTCATCTCTCCTCTGTTGCTTTATGTTTTGTTAACTTTTAACATCTTTGTTTTAGATTACTGATGCCGTGATGGTGGCGAAGCATCTTGGAGCAACGCTTGTGCTTCCTGACATAAGAGGAAGCAAGCCTGGTGATGAAATGTTAGTTGTTTTTTTTGTGTATTTTCATAAACAGCAAAATTGTTTCTCTGAGGTTTTATGCTTAAACGAATTCAAATGCTTGCTTGACCAGGAACTTTGAAGACATCTATGATGTGGAGAAACTCGTTAAAAGCTTGGAGAGCGTCGTCAAGGTTGTTAAAAAGCTGCCTAGCCACGTATCTCTAAGAGACATCGCCATTGTTAAGGTCCCTTTCCGAGTAGCAGAAGACTACATCAAGGAACACATTGACCCCATCTTCAAATCTAAAGGCAACATAAGAGTGACAACCTATTTCCCTTCCGTGAATCTGAGGAAGTCTTCTCGTGACGCTGAAACCGACCCTGTCTCTTGTTTGGCAATGTTTGGCTCCTTGGAGTTGCAACCAGCAGTGAACGATTTGGTTGATTCGATGATTCAGAGGCTGAAGATACATAGCAAGAAAGCACGTGGCCGTTTCATAGCCATAGACTTGAGAGTTGAGATACTTGAAAAGAAGAACTGCCATGAGACTGGTGCTTCAGGATCCAAAACATGTTACAACGCACAAGAGATCGCATTGTTCTTGAGGAAGCTTGGATTCGACAGCGATACAACTATATATCTGACTCAGCCAAGATGGGAGAGCAGCCTCAACATTCTCAAGGACATTTTCCCTAAAACGTTTACTAAGGTGTGTGTTAAAAAGTTAAAAGTTAAAACCTTTCACTGTTTTAGTCTCTGAAGCTAATCTTGATTTTGAAAAAATGGCAGGAGGCGATAATGCCATCAGATAAGAAACCGAAGTACCTTGAGTTAGAGAATTCAGAGTATGAGAATGTGATTGACTTCTACATAAGTTCAAGGAGTGATGTGTTTGTGCCAGCGATTCCTGGACTGTTCTACGCCAATGTAGTTGGGAAAAGGATAGCTTCAGGGAAGCCTCAAGTTCTCGTTCCAGCGGAGATCTCGGGAACGTCCGGTGCTTCTACTGATTACATCTCTCCCTACATCTCGAAGAAGAACCACTTGGCGTATTCTTGCTTTTGCTGAAACTTTTATGATGTAATTTTGTAATGGGAAATGTGATCTTGAAAGGCAAGATCAATGAAAGGGTCTCTTCTCAACAAGTGTAAGCAATCTAGTTATAATACTTTTCTAGTCAAAGTATTCTCATTCAATCTACAGTTATACAATTTTGAATCTGTTTGCTCATAGCTTTTGCATCACATTCCATTTTATAACCATGGTCAGGATGACAAAATGCAGAAACTACCGTCGCAAAATGGGAAATAAGTAAAACTGAAGGGTCAAAATGAAATAAAATAAAGTAACAAATACTCCTCACCTATTTGAGTTTGACGATTCGGTCAACGGGGCCCACAAAGATAACTTTTGTCTTTCACACACATGTTAAGACGAAACAGAGGTAGGTTCGGTTTAACTTTTGAAGTTTGAACACAGAAATAAAAAAGAAACAGACAGAAAAAAGCCAAAAATCGCCATACGGTCGCTGACGTCACCGCCGGTCATCAATGTCAGGCCACTTTTTTTATCACTTTCCCGTTTGCCTCCTTCTTTCTTTCTCTCCCATCCGATTCGATTCTCTGACTTTTTACATCTTAACCTACGCCGTATTCTCCTCCGGGCGCGCACGTTAGCAGCATCACTCCTCCTCACGAAATGGAGACGACGACAACGCTTCCTCCTCAGTCAAAGCCCCCTCACTTGCCCTACTCGAGTGTGTCCCACCACCGTCCGCCGGCGAGGCGAGAAGACTGGTGGAGCGAGGAAGCGACGGAGACTCTAATCCAAGCCTGGGGTCATCGTTACCTCAAGCTCAATTTCGGGAATCTCCGGCAGATTGACTGGAAAGAAGTCGCCGCCGCCGTGAACTCCAGCTACGGTAACGACCACCCGAAGACCGAGACGCAGTGTAGGAACAGGATCGATACACTGAAGAAGAAGTACAAGACCGAGAAAGCAAAGCTCTCTCCGTCGGCTTGGCGCTTCTTTGACCGCTTCGACGTCCTTCTCGGTCCCGTCTTGAAGAAGAAACCGGTCAAACCAGCGTCTAAGAACCTTTATCGGAGTTTAACCGGAACAAAGTCTACGGGAAGCTCTCTTGACGACGATGAGGCTGGTGATTTGGAATTGGTTGCCAAGAAGCATCCCCGTGTGGAAGAGGAAGATCTGAGTGAAGGATCGGCGTGTAAGGAGCTAGCTAGGGCCATTCTCAAGTTTGGGGAGGTTTACGAGAGAACGGAAGGTAGGAAGCAGAAGGTGTTGATTGAATTGGAGAAGAAGAGAATGGAAGTTGCAAAGGAGCTTGAGTTACAACGAATGAACATGTTGATGGAGTTGCAATTTGAGCTCGAGAAGTCAAAACACAGGAAACGTGGAGCTGGTTCGGGTAAGAACAACTTCATTTGCCTTGTGTGTCGCATTTGTGTGCAAATGTGTTATTATGTGATACTACTATTGGCTTAGATTAGCTAAAGATCCAAACTTTACATGGGTCTCTGCTTTTGAAGATCCAACTTGGTCAATAGACACTGTAGTTGAGCTTCTATGGTCTCAATGTTCCAGCAAGAAAAAGTCTTAGCTATAATACTCTAGTGTTTCTTTAACGTGTCTAGCTTTGTGATATTAAAGTCTTAAAAATTGAGAAATGTATCAATCTTTCCATAACTGTAACATTCGTTTTGAAGTTTGAACTGTCCTTATTATTGAACAGGCAAGAAATTGTAGATTTTTAGATTTGGTGGAGGAGCTACAATGGTGCAGCATGGAAAAGCAAAGCAAGAAGGAGGCTGTTACTATTTCTTAATCTGTAGGAGAAAAGTTAGACAGTCTTTAGGGAAGCCTTGTTGTTTTCTTCTATTTTTCTAAAGGGACACACTGTTGTAACTGAGCAGATGTTCCCTAAGTACTCTAACTGAGCAGACAATTATATATATATGTAACATTTTTTGTCAAGTGTCAATGTATGTATGAATATGATGATAGTTTGTGACCCACCAGCTCCTACAAGGATCATCTCTGCATTTAATGTTTTGCTTAAACGGGTTTCACTTTCACCAAATATGAAGGACTTTTGTGGCGTCATACTGATCAACAACATTGCTATAGCTTGAGATAAATAAGCAAAAAGTAGTAAAGTTTAGGCTCATCATCATTCATGAACATGTCATTCAAATTCTTTTAATCCATAAACGCCATTGCTTGTCATGTCTTAACTCTCAAGTGGATGGATTATATAGTGTACTATTGAAAAAATGTCATTCGGTTCTTTTTTGTGAACTTTAGGCTCTTCTAAAAGTAAATGCCGTGAAGACTACAAGATCTTGAGGTTTTATGTCGCTTGTCTTCAAGTCCTCGAGTTCGAGGTTGAGATATATGATGTCAAGTCTCATCTCTGGGAAAGCGTTGAAACTAACTTCAAATTCGACTGGTGTTTCGATATAATAAACCCACGAGATATGTCTGTGTCTTTGAAAGGAAACATGTATTGGATTGCTCAGAGGATTAAGTCAAAGAAGTGTGAATCTTTCATTAAGTTTTGATTTTTCAACAGAGACATTCAAGCCCGTGTGCGGTTATGTTCCAGTTGATAACGATTATCGCGGTTTTGGCGATTGTACAGTTTACTTGTCAGGTTTCGGAGGAGACAGGCTTTCTTTGTTGAGTCAACATGAAGATGTGTACGACATTGAGGTTTGGGCTACAAACAAGGTGAGTGACGAGGCTGTGACGTGGAGCAAGTGTTTTAGCGTGGTTGATCTGAATAAGCCAGTTTTAAGCTCGTATTACCATCGCACTTTACCGACGTTCTTGGTCCACAAGACCGGCCATGTCATGTTGTGGTGCGAGGAGATAGATTCCGAGGGGAAATACGTCAACGTTTACGAATTAAGCCAAGGTCAGATCAGGCAACAAGTTGAGACAGGAAGACATCAACGTTGGGATAGTCTTCCTAACCGTTGCTATCTGTTTACTCCAAGTCTGGTTCCGGTTCCAGAGTAAGAGCAAGAGTAGTGTGTACACACATTAAAGAGACTTCTTGTTTGTGAGGTTTCTTTTTGCTAGATTTTCATGCATGTTCTGTTCTAAATACTATGATATGCATTTCTACTTGTATAATGATAATCTAATTTCGTTCCAACGATTAGACTTTTACAGAGCACAAAACATAATTTACTGAGATTGTTCGCTTATCGATCTGAATTACAACTCAATGTTTCTATTTCTACAAGTAGCAAGTTTTTCTTTTCGGTGCATGAAATTTAGAAGTCACTCTTTTAAGTCTTCAATATCAAAAACACGATAGAGAAGAATCCATCACCACATTTTGCCACAATCAGACACAAACACACTCTGTTTTCTCCAAGAGGCCAGGCTTTTACTACAACCATAGTACTCGTGGCTTCCATTTTTTCTTGATGGCAAGACAATGTATTGATAACTCAGATCTTGAAACTATCAAGTTTATCAGATAATAGAGTTTGGTCAATGGGATTGTGCGCTTCGATGTCCACGTGCTGGATTCCAGGGACAAGCTCTTGGATCTCTTTCTCTAACCGGTCTACTTCGCTTCCTAAAGCTGTGACAACTTCCTCACCTGCAAACATAATTTTCTTTGTAACGTTGGTGTATTATAAACTATGACATAAACAGAGAAGTAGAACTTGGTTGCATTGCATACCGTAGTTTGACATAATCTTGAGCATTGCAGAATCATCTCCTATCTTTGCAGCTTCCCGAAACTGAGTAAGCAAACCATCAATATTCAGAAATTTTGAAGTAACCAATTATACATTTAACTATTATTGTTCATCAGCTAAGAGGCTGCAAATTTAGTTACCTGTTTCGCCCATTCTTCACGCCCAGTTCTCTTCAGATAGTTTTGGACAACAATTTGTCCGTTGAAATCTGTTTGAATATTACCAATTAGTACAGTGGCCAATGGAACCACTCCAGATATCTCACCAATAATTTTGAGAGTGAAGAACACAAGAGTTCAAGAAACTCACCTATTTCAGCTTTAAATCTGAAGGATCCAGGACCAATCACTTCACTTTTGCAATCATATAAAGCATCTACAACCTACACACCAGCAGACTTTCTTATTTGAAGCCGAATTCACCTCCATATGTGTGAGATTTCTGGTTAGTCTAATAAAGCAGAATTTGTACCGAGTCGTTCTTTAAAAAATGAAGAACTTTACGCATGTCTTGATCATCCATTGCTCTTCCAATCAAGGCATGTCGGTTCCGTTGAATGAGAAATATAGCCACCTGGTAGAGAATCCACACTCTTTGGTTAAGAAACGTTATATAGAGTAACAATGTTAAAAGTTACAGAGAGTCCAAACATACCATTCCAAGTAAATTCCCGACTACAATCGATCCAATAGGATCATAGATAGGGTTTCCTGTCACCTTTACAGCAACAAGAGATGCCGCAGCAATTGCCAAACCTGTCACTGCAGCGCCATCCTGCATATTTACAATATTTACTCACAGTTGAATTAAAAAAAACATTCCTTTGCTCTGTTTCTCAATTTGTTCAGAAACTGATCCAAGTATAGAGTATATATATATACCTCAGTCATAACAGCGACCGAAGTAGGATCATGACCACGCCATATATAATCTCTTACGGTCATGCCTTCTTGTGCAGCTCCTTTTTTGACAGATTGAATTGCGACTAGAAGTGAAGCACCTTTAAGACATAAAGATTAACAAACAAGGTTATGTATGTAGTCTTAAAGCTATATAGAAGATGCAGCCAGAAAGATTAAGAAAAAGTTAGTACCTTCGATTATAAAAGAACCACCGATCACCAAAGCAGCATATTCCATATTTGGAGGTGGCTGAGAAAAGATTATCAAAATTGATGAACAACCAAGGACAAAGAGTATCTAATAACCCAAAAGATCAAATAGCAGATGCAATCAAGGTCACAAAACGTTCCAAACTAAATTACCTGAGAAGTCCACAAGTTCTGTACTCCATTAACTATGGTAGCACCAGAACCAAGGCAAAAAATGCCAACAGCAGATATCAAAGACCATACAAATCTTTCCTTTGAGTAGCCATAGCTGAGCAAAGAGACAGAAACAGTTGGTCTGAGAATTTCTCAAACAAAAGAAAGCTGTTCTTTTCCACTATATATAAGAGTAATGAAGACTCACGGATGAAGTGCATCTGGTGCACGCCTTGAGCTACTGAGCCCATAAGCAAGAAGTGCCTACAAACGCAAAAATTTATCACTTTCTCTGCACCCATTAGTCGATACATTAAAGTGGACACAAAAGCAAAAAAAGCAACAAACCTGGTTAGCGAAATCAGCGACGGAGTGAACTACTTCAGCCATGATGACATGGCTAGAACTTGTCCACCAAACCCCAAACTTCAGCGAAAACACAAGGAAGTTGCACCATAGAGCAGTAGTGACAGCTCTTTGACTGCAACATGTTCACAAAAACATAGCTCAGCACAAACAACCAAATAGAGATACTCAGATACAGCTACACGGCTTCACTAGCACTAGTAGATATGTTACTACTGCTAGAACCATTAAACCAAAACCAATTTTATGAAACTAAACTCATAAACAAAAGCTATCCGAATGAATCTTCATGAGGATACAGCAACAGCTCAAAAATTTCAAATTTGAAACAAAAAAGCAAAGGAGCATTACCTATGTTGATCATTGATCTCAATTCTCTTCACTTGTTTCGCCCGAGTGAAGAAATCTGTATACAAATTTAATCATTTCAGGAAACCAATAAACCACACTACACACACAAATTTGAAAACTTTAGGTCAACGAAGAAGAAGAAGAAGACATACGCCGGTGAGAGGAATACGAATCAATTAAAGGAGGAGTGTCTCTATCGACCGTAACAGAACATCGCACGCCAAGACCTCTCGAGGAGAGAAACCCTCTTAGCTGCGGATTGGAACGGATAAGAGAGCTGAAACTCCGATGAGTTTCCAGAGCTCCATCGTGTTTCTCATCGAATTGCAGCAATAAGTGAAGTGAGCCGCCGCCGGCACTTGCTCTGCTGTAACCCTTCCCTGGAGAATGAAGGAGACGAGACAAGAGGCGATGCGACGATTGCATTTCAGAGCTAAGAGCATGCAAGCTTGAGAAATTACTGGATTTCCTTGGATAAAAAGATGATGCCCAAAAGGAGAAAGAGAAAGCTTTTTTTTTGTCCCAGAAAACTGGAATTCGGTAATCTCCTTATGATTTCGGGAAGAAAGATAAATGCAAAGGAGAAGACTTTATGAATTCGAAAACGAAGAAGATGAATTTTAGTATCGTGGTAATATTTTACAGTGATAGGGCTCGGCGTCGGTCTCGTCTCTGCGTGTTGCCCATCAACTTAAGAAGACGAGCAAAATATCTTATTTTTTTGTTTATATTCTCTTCACTCGGAAAAACTCCATCTTTCGACAAAAACAAAACTTTACCGAGAAAATAAGAATTATGAAATCTTGTATTTCCTGATAACAGTGATTTAAATCTGTCCACATATATATTTATATGCTATAAGAATATCCTCTTATTTGTTTCTCAAACCTATTCCCAAAGCTGAGTTCAGAAAATTAACAAAATAACAGTGGTCTGTGGTTAAGAAAATTGAAATGTTATATACCACATGGAATTTAAGTAAGTCATCTTTTTTTTTCTTAAGAAAATGAGAATATGAGGAGATTTTTCTGATAAGATGAGATAACAAAACAAATGAGCATCTTCTTTGTAATAAAAACAAGTATTGGGATTCTAAGATATCTATGAACAATTGGGATATTGTAAAGTCTAATTGACAAAATTATGTGTAAATATCTTGGATTTGAAGCAGTCACAATCCCATAGAAGAATTATTTCTCCTTATTGGCAAATTTCTTTGGCTAATATATTCACAAACTTAGTTTTTTCTTTCTTTTGACTAAAAGTTACGAGAAGATGGTTCAATTCACATGGGACTATATCTAAGTCTTCAAAACCCTGGCGATAAGGCGAATACTCTTTTGGTGAGATCTTAAATAAAGTTAGTTGTCTTATAAAAGAGACTGCAACATTACATCAGAGTATGGACCAATGCAAAGAAGCATTTTGAATCATAAAAAAAGAAGCAAACATCGCAGAGCATGATCACCCAAATTATATCGTGAATTCGTGATAAGATCAAATCCGGATAACCTAAATCGACTCAGAATTTTTCAAAGGAAATGATAACGCTATATAGCACCTGACAACATAATCAGACAGAACTCATTTGAGAACTCCTCTTGCTTGTAATGGCAAGAGTCAAAGTGTTGTTCTCACTGTGAGTTGCTCATGTTACTGGCCACCATCATCATTTGATCAGCCTCAATATTTGCATCCTGCAGAGATATGACAGATGTGCATACGTCTTAATAAGCTTCAAGTACACTCATACAGACGTCTAAGAACAACAAAGTCAAAATCTAATGTCGCTTACTTCATTCTTGTTTAAAGGAAGATTTTGGGCTGTCTGAGGAGCGCCTTTGGATAAGTCTCTTAGAGCACCCTGAACGTTATTATATCAGAAGATGTCAAATGAGGTAGATAGAGAGACACTTGATCAATTAATAAAGGAAGTGTTGGCCTGCCTTGTTTGCCCACATAAGTCCACATGCATTGCAAAGTGTTCTTGGCCCTTCAGGTCCACGCCGCATCATTGGAGTTGACTTCTCGCCAATTCCACAATGCCGGCATCTTAAAGGTTCCAGAAACATTCAAAGGAAGGAAAATCAGATCTATTCTTAATATCTATGTTAAGTTGGTTTAAATTGCAGTTTAAATTCAAAGCATTTATCAACTTACGAGATCTCTGGAGTCTGAGCCTCGCTCCCTTCTATAGCCCAGGTTTGGTTTGACTCCCAGCTTGATCCAGCAGATGCTGCTTCATCATTGCTTGACTTGGCAGATGTGAACTGACCTTTGTTGCGTTGCATCCTGAACACCGGAATATAAACAAAACCAACCAAGGTGAAATTACTAATTACGAGAGAGCAATCTCAAAAGATGCATCACTAGATCAAGTTGTTGATTTGGACATAAATGTACCTCAAAGCTACCTCCTTACGGACTGTATACCGGATCTTCTTATCAAAGTTCCTCCCTTTTCGTTTCTCTCGAAACCTAACCAACGAAGCTAACCTCTGTGGCATACTAAACCTTTGAGGAGTACCAGGTAAACCCTGTTTCATTAATAAGTCAGCAACACACCAAGGAAGCGGACTAATGTTGTCCCAGAAACGGTATCAAAACTTTGATTACCAATACTCTATTGTTCTGATGAGATGCTCCTAGGCCTGTAGGGGGTGCCTGAGGTAATTCGCGTCCACCCAATAATAAAAGCACAGCTTGAACCTGCAGCATACGTTAAAGAGGCATTCACACATTAGACTCAATAAGGGGAGAACACAAACCAACTAGATCCTTCAACCACATGCTTCAGTGTCATTTATAATCAAAGAACCAGCTCTCGGTTACAAGCTTGAATCACCTTTTCAGGCAAGACACTGTCGAAAACGTAGACTTGGCCTTGGAAAGACAATGTCAATTGATCTCCTTGCTCACTACCACGGTCGACCACTTCACCACGACTGTCAGTTATGTTCCCAGGGTGAGAAGGAATATCTGTTTCCACTCCCTCACTCATCCCACCAGCATGGTCATCGACCATTCCGCTCCCATTGTGGATCTGGTGCAAACCATGGTCTTCATACTGAACATGCAATGGATCTTGCTCTTCTCCGATGTGCATTCGACCATTGTTTCCATGAAGGTCATCCATGGCTGCTTTTCATAAATTTACCTGGTTGATAATTTGAAAGTGAAACAAATTTACATTAAAACTGGAGCAAATAAAAGTCAGAGCAGTTAAAAAGTCTGTATATATAGAAACGGAGGCAATCAATGTTAAGAAGACAGTGTAGAAGCAGCATCCTATATAACACAATTACATGAAAATGTCAAATTTTGGATATAATCTCAACTCATAACAACCAAAACCATAAATTTCAACAATAAACAGAGCAAGAAACTTCGAAATTAGCGAGCAGCAGAATCTATTTGCATCAATCAGATCCAGCTTAAAAATTCTAGCTTTCCATGCTTCAAGCCTTACACAGACCATACCATACCAAATCCACAATCTCACTCTTAATTTTCCGCAAACCCTAAGAAACAAAAAGCAAATTTTGCAACAAAGCCACCCAAAAACGAGTACCAACTTTCCCCTTTTTTGAGATTAGATTTCTCATTTCGTCAAGCGAGATCGATTAATAGTTCATATGAAGGTACCTGTTTCGTGGGAGCAACACCAGAAGAGAAGATGAAGGTGTCGAAAGACCCGATGATAAACCAGAACAACGCGACGGAATCGATGAAGATGGCAATTGCGAGCTCGGAAGCGATGAGAAACGCCCGGAAAAGGTAAAATGAGACGAACGACCGGAAGACCGGCGATGAGAGACGAAAACGGAAACCGGAAACCGGAAAGAGAGAGAGAGATAAATGGAAGAATGAAGGAGAATGAGAGACGGAGCGGTGAAATCAACCCAGTGGGGGCTAAAGAGACTCCAATTATTGTTTTATTCACAAATCAATAAATAAAGAAAAGTGACGGACAAATAAACAATTAGTATTTTTATATTTTAGTTTCTTTCTTTTCTTCTTTTCTCCGTCTTCCTCCGACTACTAAACTTAAATCGGATCTATGACTTCGATTTTTTTGCCATAGCTCATTTTTCTTCTCTCTCTTCATCTCTGTTTGTTATTCTCTTTCCGGATCAGAGGATTCGAAATTTGAAAGCTTTTCGCTTTTTTCTTCTTCCTCTGTTTCATGGAATCTGATTTACCAATTCGTCTGTGTTTTTGTTAAGTTGGGGTGGTGAGATAGATGGCGAGAGGTAGATCGATTAGTGGTTCTGGGCTATGGAAATATCTGAATCCAGCGTATTATCTAAGAAGGCCGAGACGTTTGGCTTTGCTTTTCATCGTCTTCGTCTCTGTTTCTTTTGTGGTTTGGGATCGTATGAATCTTTCCCGAGAACATGAGGTATGTTTTTGTCTCTTCATGGAATCTAGATAGACTCTGAATCACCACCGTTCTGGTATCATAGCTATTGATAAGCATTGTTGAATTATACAAAGTAGCCTGCTTTGTTTATTGCCTTCATTAGCTTAAGGTCTAGAAGAAGTAAGAAAGTTGAATTATTTATGAAGTGACTTCATACATAAGATATGTGCCTTGTTTCAATAGAAAAGAGCTGTAATTGCTCAATTACTCAGGAAGATACTTTTGTGATCATTTGTCACTTGTCCTGTACTTCTGCTGTTTCACATTTGTATTTCTATCTTGCAGGTTGAAATTTATAAACTGAATGAAGAAGTTTTACGGTTGGAGCAGATGGTAAGATTTACATTTCCTCTTCCTCTGTAGCCGTCAATGATTTACTTGAGCAGCTTAAGACCCACTGAGGCTTGAGGGGCTTGTAATGGTTTTCAACTGTTTAGCTAACTATCTATAGTTTCTGCTAGTTAGAAGAGCTTAAAGGTGTTGGAAATGGTAAATCTTTGAAGACTCTGAAGGATGCTCCAGAAAATCCAGTTGATGTCGAGCGAAGGCAGAAAGTGAAAGAGGCAATGATCCATGCTTGGAGCTCATATGAAAAGTATGCATGGGGAAAAGATGAGCTTCAGGTATAAAATTAGTTCCAAAATAAATTTTTACCCTTGCCATTGCCAATATTTAATCTAGTGACGAAGGAATCTACAAATCAGTATTAATCATGACATTAGGTGCCTTCACTTTCAATGTTTTGATGAACCTTTTGCTAACGAGCTTATCTGATGTTATCACATTTTCCTAGGCCTTGCAAGTATTGTTCTTGTTTAAGTAGTGATATTACTTAAAAATCTTTTGGTCTGAAGGAATTCTTGTTTCTTTCAATTTTTTATTTTGTCAGCCTCAGACAAAAGATGGTACTGATAGCTTCGGTGGCCTTGGAGCAACTATGATAGATTCTTTAGATACACTCTATATAATGGGTCTAGATGAGCAGTTTCAGAAAGCCAGAGAGTGAGTAACTACAGACTCGTTATGTTAATGCGTCCACATAACTTTTCTCCTCTCCATTAACAACTTCTATTTTTTTAATTCTCCATCTTGCCAATCTTCATTTGCTTAGTGCTTTTTATTTGCAGGTGGGTTGCGAGCTCATTGGATTTTGACAAGGATTATGACGCCAGTATGTTTGAGACAACCATAAGGTTGCTTTACCAGGTTTACTGTGGCTGTTTTGAGTATCTGTCGTAGGAAGAGTCAATTCATTTGCGGTCATTAGATGGTTCTTGAACGCACATAAGATGTGGATTGAATTTGTTGATCTGCTTATGTTTTTCCTCTATATTTCCTTTCAGAGTTGTTGGCGGACTTCTGAGTACGTATGATCTTTCTGGGGACAAAATTTTCCTTGAAAAGGCCAAGGATATTGCAGATAGATTATTGCCTGCATGGAACACGCCAACGGGTATACCTTACAATATTATCAACTTGAGAAGTGGAAGTGCTCACAATCCTTCGTGGGCAGCAGGGGTGAGTCCTCGATTACTGAGTGCCATGTCTGTCATATTGCGTCATTATTCATGTTGATCTCTTTAGCGCCTTTAATATTGGATGCAGTCTTGTTTGTTTCTAGATAGAATGGCCATTGCTCCAGCAACTGGTGCTCTTGTTCTCTAGTTGACCTATTCCGGATTATGTTAGAGGCTATCAATAGCTTAAAACCAAGTTCTGACCATTTTCTTAGATGCTTCAGCCCCATGTGAAAACTTAGATATAGACTCGCCAGAAACAGAATGTTCTGGTTTCTCTTTATTCAACAATTAACATTCTTGTTTGAGGTCTAGTCTTTAAACAGGTGTTGCTTTTAGAGGTTATGGTAACTGTAGTTTCTTTACTAATTATATTATTTTTACTAGCAATCATCATGTGGTTGAGTCTGTCACTGAGCAGTATTCTTGTTACATTTTCTTCCTGTACTAGGGAGACAGTATTCTTGCAGATTCTGGCACTGAGCAGCTCGAATTTATCGCCCTTTCCCAGAGGACAGGGGACCCGAAATATCAACAAAAGGTACATGTTTCTGTAACTTTCATTTGTGGTTTATAGAGGTGTAAAAAGGGGAATATATCTGCTTTAGTACTGTCTAAAGATTGATTCGTATGTTAACTTGTGTTTCACAGGTAGAGAAGGTTATTACAGAACTGAATAAGAACTTCCCTGAGGATGGTTTACTTCCCATCTATATAAATCCCGATAATGGTAATCCATCTTACTCCACCACAACATTTGGTGCCATGGGAGACAGGTAATTTCCTCAATCAGATATCATTTTTTTTGTCGGTTGGTCTTTCTGACCTTGACTTTGCTCTCTAACAGTTGATAATGCTTTGGTTTTGTAGCTTTTACGAGTATTTACTCAAAGTTTGGGTACAAGGGAACAAAACATCAGAAGTGAAACTCTATAGGTATGGAAACCTTCACGTTGTATATATATATGCCCAAGTATTTCAGTTTAAGCAAAACATGATGAAGACTAAGTCTTTCTTATGGCATTGAATCAGAGAAATGTGGGAGAAATCAATGAAAGGTTTATTAAGCTTGGTCAAGAAATCAACACCTTCATCATTTACATATTTACGTGAGAAGAATGGAAATAATTTTATTGATAAGGTAAAATCTATCTCATTTTCAACTATCTACGTTGAAAGCATTGCGGCTTTGACTCTAGTTTCTTTCTCGGTTATATTCAGATGGATGAGTTAGCATGCTTTGCTCCTGGAATGTTGGCTTTAGGAGCATCAGGTTATGGTCCTGAAGAAGAAAAAAAGTTTCTTTCACTCGCTGAAGAGGTATATTAAGAGTCTCAAAAGAGTTTAGAGCTTTTATTGATGTCTCTACCGTCTGCTTATTGCTGTTTCCCTCCCTTTATTACCGCAGCTTGCTTGGACTTGTTATAACTTTTACCAATCGACGCCAACGAAACTCGCTGGAGAGAATTATTTCTTCAATGCAGGGCAGGTTGGTAAACAATGGGTTTATTTTGTGCATCTGTTAGTAAGTTAGTTGGTTGGTTTAGTCACATACAAGCACATGATTGTTTCAGGACATGTACGTTGGAACATCATGGAACATCTTAAGACCAGAAACAGTTGAATCGCTGTTTTACCTCTGGCGATTAACTGGAAACAAGACATATCAAGAATGGGGATGGAATATATTTCAAGCATTTGAGAAGAATTCTCGTGTGGAATCTGGATACGTAGGCTTGAAGGATGTAAGTCTCTTCTTATCAAAAACCCGTTTCCATCTTTAAACTGCTTTGTTAACGTCTCCTCCTTCGTTTTCAGGTTAATACAGGTGCTAAAGACAACAAGATGCAAAGCTTCTTCTTAGCTGAGACTCTGAAGTATCTCTATCTTCTCTTCTCGCCTTCATCAGTTATTCCATTAGACGAGTGGGTTTTCAACACAGAAGCTCATCCGCTTAAGATCGTAGCACGGAACGGTCAGCAGGAGCGCAAGCCAGCTGTAACATTACGCCAGAGGAGGTTTGGTGGGATTAAGGGTTAGTTAGTAATCAGAATCAGTTTCTGCTCAAATGGAATTTAATACTATAATACAGCAAAGTTTGAGGCACATTGACATATTGTTGTATCAGTTTGGATATCACATAAACGAACAACAGGTGGACATGTTTTTGCCACAGCAATTAGTACAAGTACTTACTGTTTTCTAAGACTTTTGGATTTGTAGAAGAACATCTTTAATTTTATTCACCACTCTTTAAGATTTTAAACAATTTGCAAATGAGAGCAATCAAGATTGGCCACATAGAATGAAAGCATGAAGAAGGCTCTGAGCAAAGTGAGCTTGATCCGATGTGCCTGAGAGAACCACGAGTCCCTCTGTAGTCCCTGCCTTTGGATCATGCACAACCACGTTCGCTCCTGATACCTGTTTGTTTTGGTTTGCAAACTAAAATCAGAAGCAGCCTTTCAAAACAAGATCCTGTTCATCAGTTCATCAGCAACATACCTGCTTGATGTAATTCAGGTTACTGCAGTTCTCACCATAGACATGGCCTAAGTATGCTTGAGGAACCACAATCTCCACATCTGCACTTGTCATTGCCGGATTCTCGCTGCCAATGGGCTCATTCCTCAAAGCAAACTCGTGGTTCGCATCAGGAACCATACCACCGGGATGGCCATCAATACCTGGCTGGCATTTAGAAATGTCACATAAGTTAAAAATGGATATGTCAGAAATAGAAGAAAGAATGACCATTTTGCGCTGTTTGCACATTGATTTCACAAACCTGCGGGGTCCAAGACATTGGGGAAGGTGGCCTGTCAAATCCAGGACCATGACCATGACCATGCCTCTCTGTATCGTATGGAATAAGTAGACATTATCAAGAACTAATTAAGATAGATATATGCACAAATCAACTGGTGATCATGGGTTGGAAATTGATCAAATACCATGGAACGATCCTAGTGGAGAATGGTAACGATCTGGAGAAGCTGGATACTGTCTCGGTCCAAATGGAGGAGGCGGTTCTGGATACGGACCCATGAATGGCGGCGGAGGTGGACCACCCATTCCTTGGAAAGGAAACCTTCCAGGAAACATTGCTTCACGAAGCCTACTTGTTATTTGAAACAAAGCATCTTGAACAGTCTTCACATTGCCAATGATCTGCCATTGCAGCAAAAAGTGTTGTCAAGCTGAGTTAAAAAAACTTATCGAGCTTATCGTTATATCTTATTACCTGCACAATCTCATCATGTTGAGACTCATACTTTGTGGCTTGATCTTTGGCAAAGACGCGGATGCCAGCACCAGTCGCTCTCCTCATTTCACTTATCAAATGACCTCCTTTACCCAACAAACGTCCAATAAACGGAGAATGTACAAGAAGCCGAGCAACCACTGCAGCAGTAGGTTCGAATCCAATCTCAACGATTCTATTATGCACACGCATCACAGCGTCCTGAGCAAGAGAATGCCCTCTCTCCAAGTTCTACAACAATGTACAAAGCCATAAACTTCAACAACAATGAGACAAAGTCTACGATATTACTTAAACCAATTCCATTGGACAAAATTCAACATACCTCTCGTGCAGATATCACAACAATCCGCTCCTCTGAATCATGAGTTGGATCCGATATCTTGATTGATGCACCGGTTTCGTTCTGCAGAGCTCGAACCACAGCTCCATGTTTCCCTATCAAGCTCCCAACTTTATCAGCCGGGCATAGCAGCCTGAATGCGACGTCCTCTTCAACAATCGGTGGTCTATTAAACGCTCCGACGTCTTCAGGCATTGGATTAGGAGGATGATCCCATTGATGATACTCCATGGAATGATAATCCGGCGGATAACCAGGCTGCGGAAATGGACAATCCTCCCAAGTCGGAGGCGCATTACTCTCTTGAAGACAGTTTGTGATCAACAAAAGCGCCTTCTTCACAGTCGAGAACTTTCCGGTTATCTGAATCACAACATCTCCAGGGAACGCACAAGGAGGAATCTGATCTGATGCAATCCTAACGTTAGCTCCACTATCTTCTATGATCCTCTGCAACATTTGCCCTCCTTGACTCATCAGGAAATCGACTTGATTGCCTCGGACGATCATCCTACACAGACCTTCGCACTCACCTTTTTCCAATTCAACGCCGTCGGCGGAATCGGCATCGTCCCCAAACACTATCCTCTCCAAAACCCTAACCAAAGCCATCTGCCCCGAAGACGGCGCTTCCTCGTCGGGTTTATCTCCGGCTTCAGCACACTCGCTGACTTTCTCTTGCTTCGTCTCCTCCGAGATAGGGAGTTCCGAATCGCATCCATTTGACTCGTCCTTCTTCGTGTGATCTTTCCTTCCTTCGTGTGGTGCGATTATCAACACTACACGCTCTTCGGAAGGAACGGGGATATCATCGATGACGCGGATTTTGGAACCGGTGACAGATTGGAGGTGGCGAATGACGGAGCCGGCTTTTCCGATAATCGCACCAGTCCTTGAGGCGGGACATAGAAGGCGGAAGTGTACTTCCTCGGCCGTCGCCGGACGCTTGGAGGCTGAGAATTCCATTTCGCCGAAGATGCTCAACGGCGTCGTTTTTTGCTGTTTACCATTTAAACTCATAGAGGCATTAATAAGTTAATAACTACCGTATTTCAATTTTCAAAGATAATGTTATTTGAAAATGTTTCTAATTTCTACTATTTAAATTAAATTATGGATAATCAATTGAAGAAAATAAGGAAAATAATCAAATTGCTAATGAAAAAGAAAATTAATCAAATAGTTATAATATTTACTAATTATAATATTTAAAATAGTTATATGTCAAAACTAAAGCCATTTCTACACTTCACTTTCTTTTTTTCAACTCTTTCACTACTCCCGAGTTCGGTAAAATTAGATGGATTGTATTTAATTCGTGTCATTAAACCATGGTTTTCTATATCTGTTCAGTAATCCTAAATACTAGTTTCATTTCATCCAAGCTAATATATAAGATTTTCTGTATTTCCCTCCCTAGAAAACTCAATTTTATATTATTCATAAAATGAGTTTATAAAATCTAAACATATTACAATGTACAAATTTTAAAATGATTTAAAACGTTTAAACTTTAAACTAAAACACGTTTCTTTAGCAACCACATACTTTAAATTACAGAAGTGTGGATTTTGATTGGTACAAATTCAAATCAACTTTTTGAAAAAATAAAACCGACGAAAAAAAAGCAAAAGAAGGAAGAAGACAAACTACAAAACTCTCACACATCTTTATCGCTCCATTTCAATGTGTTTTCTTTTCTCTCACTAGTCACCACACTTCTCTCTAGAAATTTCCCAGTGCTTATCTTCTCTACCTTAACGAGGAAGAAGAAGAAAGTGGCTTCTTACTTTTACTCTTCTTTTTCTGGGGGTTTAATGTTAAAAAGGGTTCTTAATTACGGCGATGCAGATTTCCTCGGCGGTTTAGATCTGTTTTCTGGGTTTTGTTTTTGAAGATCTAACTCAGATCTAGTCCTTCTGAAACCCACTCACTGAAAAAAAACAAAAAAAATCAAATCTTTTGCTACTTTCAAACATGCAGAGACCACCTCCTGAAGATTTCTCCTTGAAGGAGACTAAACCTCATCTCGGCGGAGGCAGAGTCACCGGAGACAAGCTCACAACCACTTATGACCTCGTCGAGCAAATGCAATACCTCTACGTCCGTGTCGTCAAGGCCAAAGATTTACCCGGTAAAGACTTAACCGGTAGCTGCGATCCATACGTTGAAGTCAAGCTCGGCAACTACAAAGGTACCACTAGACATTTCGAGAAGAAATCGAACCCTGAGTGGAACCAAGTCTTCGCCTTTTCCAAAGATAGGCTCCAAGCTTCTTTCCTTGAAGCTACTGTGAAAGATAAAGACTTTGTGAAAGATGATTTGATTGGTCGCGTTGTGTTTGATTTGAACGAGATTCCTAAGAGAGTGCCTCCTGATAGTCCTCTAGCTCCTCAGTGGTATAGGTTAGAAGATAGGAAAGGAGAGAAAGTGAAAGGAGAGCTTATGTTAGCCGTATGGTTCGGTACTCAAGCTGATGAAGCTTTCCCTGAAGCTTGGCATTCGGATGCTGCAACAGTGAGTGGAACCGATGCTTTAGCCAACATCAGATCTAAGGTCTATCTCTCTCCTAAGCTTTGGTACCTTAGGGTTAATGTGATTGAAGCTCAGGACTTGGTACCTAGCGACAAAGGAAGGTATCCTGAAGTCTATGTGAAGGTGATAATGGGGACTCAGGCTTTGAGGACTAGAGTGTCACAGAGCAGGAGCATTAACCCAATGTGGAATGAGGATTTGATGTTTGTTGTGGCTGAGCCGTTTGAGGAGCCGTTGATTCTAAGCGTGGAGGACAGAGTTGCTCCGAACAAAGATGAAGTCTTGGGGAGATGTGCCGTTCCGTTGCAGTATCTTGACAGGAGGTTTGATTTCAAGCCGGTGAACAGCAGGTGGTTTAACCTCGAGAAGCATGTTATACTTGAAGGAGGAGAGAAGAAAGAGATCAAATTCGCCAGCAAGATCCACATGAGGATCTGCTTGGAAGGTGGTTACCATGTGCTTGACGAGTCTACGCATTACAGCAGCGATCTTCGTCCGACTGCTAAGCAGCTTTGGAAGCCGAACATCGGTGTGCTTGAGCTAGGGATCTTGAATGCGACTGGCTTAATGCCTATGAAGGCTAAAGAAGGTGGTAGAGGAGCGACTGATGCGTACTGTGTGGCCAAGTATGGACAGAAATGGATTAGAACTCGGACGATCATTGATAGCTTTACTCCGAGGTGGAACGAGCAGTACACTTGGGAGGTTTTTGATCCGTGTACTGTTGTCACCGTTGGTGTGTTTGATAACTGCCATCTCCACGGTGGTGACAAGAACGGCGGACCAGGAGGAGGGAAAGATTCAAGAATTGGGAAAGTGAGGATAAGGCTCTCTACTCTCGAGACTGATCGAGTCTACACACATTCGTATCCTCTCTTGGTGCTGCATCCTAACGGAGTCAAGAAAATGGGGGAGATTCACTTAGCTGTGAGGTTCACTTGCTCCTCGCTGCTCAACATGATGTACATGTACTCTCTCCCGCTCTTGCCGAAGATGCATTACCTCCACCCTCTCACGGTTAGCCAGCTGGACAACTTGAGGCACCAGGCGACTCAGATCGTGTCAACGAGGCTGACACGAGCGGAGCCTCCACTGAGGAAAGAAGTCGTCGAGTATATGCTCGATGTTGGGTCTCACATGTGGAGCATGCGTAGAAGCAAGGCGAATTTCTTCAGGATAATGGGAGTGTTAAGCGGAGTGATCGCTGTAGGGAAGTGGTTTGAGCAGATCTGCGTGTGGAAGAATCCGATCACAACGGTTTTGATCCATATTCTCTTCATCATCCTCGTTGTTTACCCTGAGCTTATCTTGCCTACTGTCTTCCTCTACCTCTTCTTGATTGGAGTTTGGTACTACCGCTGGAGGCCGAGGCATCCTCCTCACATGGACACGCGTCTCTCGCACGCTGACTCAGCGCATCCTGATGAGCTGGACGAGGAGTTTGACACTTTCCCTACCTCCAGACCAGCGGACATTGTCAGGATGAGGTATGACAGGCTCAGGAGTATTGCAGGGAGGATTCAGACGGTTGTTGGCGATCTTGCAACTCAGGGGGAGAGGTTTCAGTCGCTGCTGAGCTGGCGTGACCCGAGAGCCACTGCGCTCTTCGTCTTGTTCTGTCTGATAGCTGCTGTGATTCTGTATGTGACTCCGTTTCAGTTTGTGGCTCTTGCCATTGGATTGTATGTGCTTAGACATCCGAAGCTCAGATACAAGCTCCCATCTGTTCCGCTTAACTTCTTCAGGAGGCTTCCTGCAAGGACTGATTGCATGCTCTGAGTCACTTAGATTTCTCCATTTCAAGAAGAAGAAAAAAAACCGTCTGGTTTTAGTTTGTAATCGTTTTTTAAGTCTGTACCCTTTGTGTGATGATGTTTGTGTCTTCCTTTGTTTGATGTTTTTAAGCTTTAAGACCTTTTGAAACCTTTGTTTTGAATGTAGTAAGAGATGTTTGTGTTGCTTTTGCTGGTTTAAAATGTTCAACCTTTAACAAGCGATGTTTATCGAAATTTCGGTAAACCGAATCGAACCGAATTAATTTCCCACAAACCAAATTGAACCGAGTCTACAAACTCAATGTTACTTCAAACCAATCACAGAGACATTTTAACAAGGAGATTCTAAGAAAAAGTTGGGATTTTTCAGGAGATCTTGATCTCTACCATGGAAGCTGCTGCTATCTTTACTTCAGTATACGTTACCAGTTTACCAAATACAAAGGCTATCTTCATACCGAATCCACCTGCTCTATCTTTGTCTTCTTCTTGTTGGCTCTGCAATTCGAAAGGCAAGCGAATCACCAAACTGAGGCTCAGGGATGGATCGAAACTTCGTCTACATGCTCTGTTTCACGACGAGGAGGCCCCAAGTGAAAACGAAGATAAATTGGCGGAGAATAATGGGTTTGATCTTTTACCTGCAGATATCTTCTCTCTGTCTCAGGTACGTTGGCTCCTCTCTAGTAAACGAAGTTATCAAGCTGTTCTGAAGACCTGAGAATTTGAAAAATGGGATCTTTTTTTGTCTAATTCCGTGTTGCTTTTAAGTTAAAGACACTACTTTTGTGGTGTTATGCTAAGTTATGTGAAATATTGAGCTTTCGGTTGATGCAAACCTGAACTTGAACTTGTAGTTGATGATAATAGTTTTATGATGTTATGCGAAGGTTTTGTGAAGTATTGAGCTTTTGATTGATGAAAAGCCTGAACTTTAAGCTGATTCTTTTGGCAGAAAGATTGATTTGCTTCTTGTATGTGTGTTTGTGAAGGAAAAGCTTGGAAGTAATCTACGTAGTGGAAAGGATAGTGATAAGATAATCGATGTGGAGACATCTATTGCACTTCCTCATAGTGGAGGGGGAGGAAATCGAGCTGGTCTCTTTAGAACCCCGATTTCCGGTGGTGTTCAGAGCGCAACCTCTGCTCACGGTTTACCTAGACCCGCTTTAGCTGTTAGGAACTTGATGGAGCAGGTAAATAAGGTTTATGATCATTTCTTACGTTTGATGAGGGAAGATGTTGAATCTCTTGAATGTGATTGTGTGTTTGGTGTTTTTATGGTTTCAAGGCCAGGTTTGCTCATCTATGTACAGTGATGTCTAGAATGCACCATCGTAGAGAAGGTTATCCGTTTGGATCTTTGGTAGATTTTGCACCTGATCCTATGGGGCGTAAGTCTTTTTTCTCTCTTGACTGTCTCTCTCTTTGTATGTTTAGTTTCTAGGTGTTTTTGACAGCTTCTTCTTGCTTCTTGGTTTGTACTTTGTAGACCCAATATTTTCATTTTCACCGTTGGCTATTCACACTCGGAACATCTTGGCTGAGCCTAGATGCACTCTCGTTGTTCAGGTAAACATTATCTATCGTGTTCTTAAAACTATAAAATCAGATTGGTGTTTACTCCTGGATTTGGTTTTGTAAGATACCTGGATGGAGTTGCTTATCGAATGCAAGAGTTACATTGTTCGGCGATGTCTACCCATTGCCAGAAAATGAACAAGTGAGTGTCTCTATTTCAATTTTCAAGTACTACATGAAATGTTAACACTGTTATCTCAATTAGTGGTTCATGATTTTCTCTTGTTTTGGATTTCCAGGAATGGGCTCATAAGCAGTATATGGCTAAGCATCATCAAGGACCTTCCCAACAGTGGGGAAATTTTCACTATTTCAGAATGCAGAACATAAGGTTTCTTGTTTTCTTATTCAACTTTAGCCACACCATAGTGTAGATATCGAAACGTAGTTGATAACAATGTGGATTTGTTTTCTCAGTGACATATACTTCATTGGAGGTTTTGGCACTGTCGCGTGGGTCAATGTCAATGAGTACGAGGCTATTCAACCAGACAAGATAGCTGTTGATGGAGGCGAGCAAAATCTAAAGGTGCGTTATTAAAATGATTGAGCCTAACTTAGTGAATACAAAGTGGAGTTCTTGATTTCATTCCAAAATTGTGATAGGAACTAAATGCCATCTTCTCAAAGCCACTTAGAGAGTTGATGTCTACTGAATCTGAGGTAGATGATGCTGCTATCATTTCTATAGACAGCAAAGGGATTGATATAAGGGTTCGTCAAGGTGCTCAGGTAATCTATCTATATAGCAATATTAAGAAGCTTTTGAACAATGTTTCTGCAACAGAAGCTTTCTTCTCAGTCCATGTGTGTATTGATTTTGATACAATTGAGCAGTTTAACATACAAAGGCTAGCCTTTGAGGAAGTTCTTGGTGTTGAGACTTTAGAAGAAGCCAAATCTGCACTGTGGAAAGTGATAGAGAAGGGCAAGTTGCACAATTTTCAGAAATGACCATAGGTTTGATGGATTTGCAGAAATGACCTATATGTTTGATTAGCTTTAAGGAAATAGCACAAAGCTTTGAATTAAGAAAGCAGCGTATGAATTCGTTGGTCAAATTCGCTTTCTCATTTTGATTTTGTTCCAATCTGTACAATTAAAAACATGGTGATAAGAGAATTGTATCATCATCGTTCATCACTAGGAGAAATGCAATTATGAGAATATTGGGCTAGAAACGGAGTTCTCATAGATATCAGGGCGTTTCCGAAATTTATAAAATGAAATCTGTCACACTTGTAGGAAAATGCAATTTATTAGAATATAGGGCTAGAAACAAAAGTTCTCAGAAATGTCGGTCGTTAACCTATGTAAATTTATGAAACTGGGAGACAAAAGTGCAATTTATTGGAATACAGAGCTAGAAACAGAGGTCCTCTAATAAATTCGAAATTTGCGAAACTGGAAGAAACTGCAATTTATTGAATTATTTTGATAGAAAAAGGAGGTTTTCATAACTTTTGGGGTGTTTTTCAAAGATTCTAAAAGTTTGAAATTTGTGCGGGCATTTTTTATCCCAAGAGTGAGCTACTGTTCAAAGAAAAAAACAAAAAAAGGAAGCATTTTTATTTTTTTTACTGTATAGTAAAGCAGAGACAGTGACGATACAACAACAAACAATCATTCCCCAAAAATTCTCACCAAGAATCAATCAATCCTTCTCCGATTTCCTTCCATGGCGGCGGAATCCACCAGAAACCCATCTTCGCCGTCATCGCAAAGCCCAATTACGAATTTAGCCGATGACCATCTCTTCACCATCTTACTCCTTCTCCCCGTAGATTCAATCCTCTCTTTCTCAATGACCTGCAAGAGATACAAGTCTCTAGCTTGTTCCGACAGTCTCTGGGAAGCTCTATGCGAAAGAGAATGGGGTTCACAATCTGTAGATGTGTTAAAGTCATCGTCTTCTTCTTCTTCCTCTTCCTCACGAGATGGGTTTTCGTGGATGATGATGTTTCAGCGAGTTTATAAGCTGGATTCTGTTTGCTGTCGCAAAATCTCAGACCCAGATGATGACGACGAAGAATCTTCTTCGTTTCCGATGCCTAGAGCTTCTCATTCTCTCAACTTCGTTAATGATCATCTCGTTCTGTTTGGTGGTGGTTGTCAAGGAGGTTAGCTTCAGCTTCTGAAACTCATAATTCGTTGAAAAGCATTCGACTTTCGATATGATCCACTCGATTTCTCGGTTTGCTTGAAGAGTGTGTTAACCACACGCCATGATACTTGAATAAAGTTGAGATCTTTATGTATATTGCTTTGTTTTTCTACATTTTGCAGGACGCCATCTTGATGATACATGGACAGCTTATGTTGACAAGAGCAATCAAAGCATGATGAAATGGAAAAAAGTGGAATCAGGAACTCCAAGTGGGAGATTTGGTCACACCTGCGTTGTTATCAGCGAGTCTCTACTGCTTTTCGGTGGAATCAACGACCGTGGAGAGCGGTTAAACGATACATGGATCGGTCAAGTCTCATACCACGAGAGTCTCTTTTGGAAGCTACTGGACGTTGGACCGTTGCAGCGGCCTCGTCCTCCTCCTCGTGGTGCTCATTCGGCTTGCTTTATCGCCGAGAAGAAGATGGTTGTACATGGAGGAATAGGGCTTAACGGAGTCAGGCTTGGAGATACATGGATTCTTGAGCTTTCTGAAGATTTCACCACCGGGACATGGCACATGGTGGAGTCTCATCAGTCACCTCCCCCGAGATCAGGACATACTTTGACCTGCATTAGAGAGAACCAAGTGGTTCTGTTTGGAGGGAGAGGGTTAGGATATGATGTGCTTGATGATGTTTGGATCTTGGATATTCAAGAACAGTGTGAAGAGAGATGGGTGCAGATCTTCTACGACTTCAGGGAGGTTCCTGAGTATGCATCGTTGCCTCGGGTTGGTCACTCGGCGGTTCTTGTATTGGGAGGACGGATCTTGATCTATGGAGGTGAAGACTCTTATAGGCATAGGAAAGATGATTTCTGGGCGTTGGATGTGAAAACCATTCCTTCTTCTGGTTTGAAGCCTCAGGGAGTTAGCTTAAACGGATCATCCGTGTGGAAGAAGCTGGAACGAGTCTCGTATGGACCGAAAAGCCGGTCTTTTCACCGAGCCTGCGCTGATAGCTCAGGGAGGTTTGTGTATGTGTTTGGCGGAATGGTTGATGGTCTTCTTCAGGCTGCAGCTTCGTCTGGTCTAAGGTTTGATGGAGAGCTTTTCATGGTGGAGCTTGTTCTTGGCTTCTCTGATCTAGACAGCCAACAAAGACCTGTAAAAAGCATGTAATAGTGTAGGTTTTGTTGTATAAAACCATATCAATAAACCAGAAATGGAATCCATTATGGCCAATTCTCTGATCAAAGAGAACACACAAAGATAATGTGTTGAAAAATTGGAGCTTCATATATAGATTCTGATTCAGTTTACAAATATACAAATTGCCATTACAGGGGATGTATGTATGAAATGTAAGGACTTGTTTGAAGTACTAAGGAACGTTCTATGGGTTGAGAATGAGTTTGGTTCTCCACATCTCTGCAAGGACCTTCTTTGGGGCAGGATCATCTGGACCTTTGTCTCTTTGTCCTGAGGTGAAGTATAAGTGTCCGTCCCAATACCCAACCAGTGTTGTTTTCACACGGTATGGTAATTTCCCAATCACATACCATTTCTGTAGAGAGAGAGAGGCAAGAATCATTCATTAGTGACACATTTTGCAATCACTAATCTTGGACATGTTTGAGCATGAAGGCTTTCGGATTTTACTTACCAGTGTATTCAAGTTGAACTGGAAGATTTCACCGATGAGAACCATCTTTTTGGTTTCAGGATGCTTCTCTGTAGTGCCTCCAACGATTACAATGGAGTTGTTAACAACTTTCCAAGCGAATTCGATATGTGAGTCAGGTTTTGGCATCGACGGCATCACTTTCCACTTCATTTCCTCATCTAACATGTAGACATCACTGAACACCACCTGAACACAAAGTTGAAGAAAGAAGTCATGAGAAAAGAACTTAACTAGCTCGTCTAAGGTATATTGATCCAATACCTCCATGCGGCGTGAGCACTTGAAGATAGGAGAGCCAGGTTTCGCCATGAAATCACCTTCTTGACCACCAATCACAAACAGTCTATCATCCACCACTACACATGCCCTATACAGTTTTCACACAGAACAAGACTGCTTCAACATTTCATTTCATGTATACACAAGATAGCTTCTTCAAAGATCTTTTGCAAACCTGTGAGGTCCTCCGCGAGGGATTGGAATCTCACTTCTCCACTCATTCTCCAACGGTTTGCCATCTTTAACCGCAATGCTCCAATGTTCAAGCCCCGGTGTAAACCGATTCTCCTTGCTTCCACCCATCACATGAAGCCTTCCTCTCCAAAGCTGTGTAGCCGGTGCATACCTAGGAACTGGCAGAGGAACAAAGTCCTTCCATGTATTTGTATCGGTATCAAGCACAAATGTTTTAGCTGTAGGACCTCTGCATTGCGGACCAAACTGACCAGTAACGATATAAATGAATCTCCCATCCGTGACCATTCCTAAATGAGAATGTGCCATCTCTTTCGGCATATCGAATCTTCCTCCCCACGAGTTGTCAGTGAAGTTGTAGATATCGACATGTGAATGCACAAGATCAATGGTTCCGTATCCAGCAAACACATAGAAAAGATCCCTGATTTGGATTGCAGCTCCGTCTAGACGAGGCACAGGTGAAGATTTCATCTTCTCCCATTTCAATTCAGGAGCTGGCAAATCTTGGAATGTCGCAGATAATTTCCTCTCTTTAACACTCTCCTTCTTCTTCTTTGTTGTATCTTTCTTCTACAAAACAAGCAAAAACAGAGTAAATTCACATTCTTTGAAGCTAAAAATTGCTAATTTTTGTTGATGAGATCTAACTGCATAAACAAGAGACCAGGACCAATTGTGTTTTACCTGGTCGGAAGCGACAGCGGTGGTTACGGAGGAGGGGAGGGATGCTCCGGGGGACAAATACGAGATCGCGGCGGAGGAGAATCGATGAGAAGTAGCCCAGAGAAAGTCGGCAATGAGTCCGGTAGCTAGAAGCGCGATGCATGAAACCAACACTAATCTTCCGTACTTGTGCTTCTTCGCCATATCTATGCTCTGTCTCTTCTAAATTGACATAACCATCTCTATGATTTCACTAATTTCACATAAAGTTGAAACCTTTTTCGAGCTTAGTGAAGGAAGGATTCAAGCACAAAAAAATGTCGGATCTTTGATCTCCCAGATTTTGCTTCACCTTTTTGTTTCCTCCTATTTATATGATTAAACCAAATCAGTTATTCGAACCAACGAGAAATTAAAATTGTCCAGGCAAACCGAACCGGTCACAAATTTTTGGTAAAAATTAAAGGATGGTAAATACGTGAACGGCAGGATTCGAACCTGCGCGGGCAAAGCCCACATGATTTCTAGTCATGCCCGATAACCACTCCGGCACGTCCACTGTTTGTTCTCTTATCAAGAATTCTGTTTTTTATTGTAATATCTACCTTACGAATTAGATAAGCTATGTTAAATATATCAAAGACTATTATGATGATCAAAGTTTGGTGTGTTGTTAATTATTTATGATCTCAGAAATGAAAAAGTGATTCACATTTAGTGGTCGATTGGTTTGGGACTATAATGAGTGAGTTTTCAAGTGAAAAAATGTTTGAGATGCAAAAAAATTGGTCATGAAAACTGGAAATGTGTTTACCTTGCTGGTCTAATAAAGAGTGTGTAGCTTAGTATATTGCTGACGACTAATTCCTAAATGTGGATTGTGGCAATGTTACAATTGACTGAAAAAGGACCAACTCAAAAAAGTTTCTTTAGCTTTTCTTCAAACGCATTTAATTGTCTTGTAATATAGCTATTGCAGCTGCTCTTACACTTGTCATGTGTATTGCATTGTTCTCATGACCTGTTTAAACACTGATCTGCAACACACCAAGAAACGAGTCTTCAAAAGATACTAAAGCAAAAAGAACACAAAATTGATCTTTGATATACAACAAAGATATTAAGTCTCTCTCTCTCTCTCTCACTTTACCCAAAACAAGACCTAACTTAAACGAGCCGATGCGATTATCTTCTGTTTCATCGCTTTTCTTTCTTTTAACCATGCCACATTTTTCTGTGCCTTCACAATGCGCTCCTCCAAAGACATCATCAGCACTTTTATCTTCTCAAAACTCTGTGTATTGTCGTCTGACGCTATTGCTGGCTCCTCTACCGCAAGCTTTTCCTGAATAACATCATCATCACCAGCAACATCATCTTCCTTCTCTTTTGAACTAGCCTTTTCTCCTCCCATGGCATTATCACCTTCATCAACATCATTGTTCCTCTTTTCTAAATTCTCTAACTGCTCATTGGATTTCAAAGTTTCTTCATGAAGCAAACAGTCTTGTCCCTGAGTTCCATCCCCTGCAGTGATGTGAATGTTTGACTCATCAGATGGGCTCATAACCATATTCTCAGCTTCAGTGCACAACTTCTCGTCTGAGCTCGCCTTGTCTCCTGCTATGGCACCATCTTCATGAAGCAAACATTCTGGTTCCTTGCAGCCATCATCGACCATAGTCTCCTTCTCTCCATTGCTTCCATTTACATCAAGCTCATCATCACAGTTTTGCCTTGTCTCTGGTGCTGACAAAGCAATGTCCTCAACTGCTCCTCCATTAGCACCAAGAGGAGGATCTAAAGAGTTGTTTTCATCAACTGGACTCAGAACCATATCCTTCCCTGATATGCTTCCTGTTTCATTGGTCTCCTCATTCCTTTGCTCGGTTTCTGTTGATAGCACAGATTCCTCTCCATTAGCTCTTGTGGAAGCAAGCTTCTGAAAACGGCATGAATCATAGTTATCTGCCTCAAGTCTACTTCTTTTACCAAGCGGTTCAGAAACCTCTCCTCCACTATTCTCTACCTCGCTATACTTCTTTTTAAATCTTCTTTCTACCATTAGAGTTCCAGAAATGGTGAGGTTATCATCATTGTCTGATGTAACCTCTGTCTGACAATGACCCTTACTACTCCCATTATCTTCACAAACTCGCTTTGTCGCTACCTCAGCTATCTTCATTCCATCATTGCTTGTTCTGTTCATATTACAACCTGAATGAACAAAACTAGTATCATCACCTCTCGCTGTCAATGTTTCAGATGATTCAACAACAACTCGATTCTCCTTGGAAGAACATTGTGATTCTGGAAAGCAGATCCTTGGAGTTACTTGCACAGTAGTAACATTCCAGTTTTTCACAGGTTTTGTGTAAGGACGCAGTTTCAAACTGTCCATTGTCGAGTTTTCAAGAATCTGCCTCACATTAGTTGCTCTCCGTTTCAGATCATGCCAAAGAGCCAATCTTGGCTCACCCTCTAGCATCGGATTAGGTTTTGGTGGCTGTAGCTCCCTAAACCTCTCCCATGTCCAAACTTGAACCAACTTAAACAAGGAGCTCATATATAGTATTGTGAGGGGACTCGTCGATTCATTGAAAGCTCTAATGTGGTCACTCAAGTGACTTAACTCTTTATACAAGTGATCAAGAACAGGAGGAGCAAGAGCAATCCTAGTACCTCTTGAAAGATGAACAGCAATCGACAGGTGGTAGTGAAAGATGTGATAATACCGTGAGGGAAACACAAAGTGGCCAAGCCATGAAGCAAGAAAAGCCACATGCTCAAGCTCATGACCACTGTCCATGAATCTCGCTGCCCATGTTACTTGGTTTGCTTTAACGCCCGTCTCTTTCTTAATCTGCTCACACTCTTGATCAAGTTTTGCCTTTATCTCCTTTCCTGAGGGATCAAGTGTAGTTAAATACTGCAAACCCCTATCAGAGAACCCTAGAAGCACCTTTACATCCTCTAGAGTTATGCCTGCTTGACCCCAAGGGAACAAGAAAGAGTTGGTTTTGGGACACCATTTCTCAGCAACAGAGAAAACCAGAGCCGAGTCCTTGTGGATCGTTTTGGTGGACGCCATGATTGCATCAAAAATCCCAGCTTTTCTCCAAGTAGCTTCGTGGAGAAGAGACATTTTCGCAGTCCAAGACATCAAATCTGTGCTTGCGTACCTCCACCCACAAAAGGTAACACTTTTAATGAGAGCCTCTGAGTGTGAGGGAAAAGAAGCTGAACGATTTTGACAAGGCTTCAAAAGATTGGTTTTTTCTCTTCTATGTCCACTGATTTCACAAGAAGAAGCCATGAGTTCTTAACAGGATCTTCAATTTCTGGACCATTAAAACAAAATTAAAAACTTTAGGCCAATATTACATGAATGAAGCAATCAAACTTCGAACAGCTTCAAAACTAGCGAGCAACAGAGAATCAATCGGATCCAACTTAAAAATTCTAGCTTTCCATGTTTGAAGCCATTCCACAGTCTCACTCTTAATTTCTACAAACAAAACAACAAAAACTATGAAACAAAAAGCAAATCACTGCAACAGAGCTACCAAAAACGAGTACCCACTTCCCCATTGCGATAAATTTCTCATTTTGACACACGAAAACATAAAAGAGCTCGAGTAAAGAAGGTACCTTTTTCGTGAGAGCAACACCAAAATAGAAGAATGAAGATGTCGAAAGACCCAACGAAACCAAATAACGCGACGGAAAAGGTGAAGATGACAACTGCGAAAGAGAGCTCGGAAACGGTGAAGAAAAAGCGTCCGGAAAGGCTTTGCTTGTTAAGAAACTTAAACCAAAATGAAAAAGAAAGAGAAAAAGTTTGTTGTTTTTTTCTCTTTTTTTTTTGGGTACTTTTGGTTTAATGTTTGAATTTTGAAGAGGAAATCAATGGTCAAGGCAGAGAAATTATACGTTGCAGAGCAGAGAGTAGAGGTGATGGAGCCTACAGTAGAACAGTTACTTTTTAAGGTAATTTGTAAAGATACTAGTTAATAACTTAATACTAAAAAATGTCTCAGTCTCATCCATAAAGTAAATATATTTCCTTTCCAAAATCATTTTTAAATGTTTCATCGTCAAAAAGGAAAGTAAAAAATGAATTTTTCATTTTGAAAAAGATGCAAAAACTGATGGGTACTAAATGACTAATGATGATGAATAACATTTTAAAATTTTCTTATTTCATGGCGAGAGTGCATGTAACATTGCCAATCAGAGAAAACTGATTCATATTTCTTAAACAGACGATCGGTCTATATATCCTCATCAGTATTAAAAAAACCGAACTTGAACAGAACTTCCTAATTCAAAAGCCACAAGTAATAATTAGTCTCCAATTTTAATAGATCTTACAAATACACACACAAAACATCATGTGTCTAATAAAGTAACAAGTGACATTGTTGTTCAACTTTTAGATACAATTAGCTTAAGCAGAAACTCCAGTTTGGATTTGGTTTCCTCTGGTTTTCCACTTCCTAATCGTTGCCAAAGTCTTCTCCACCTTCATGATGCGTGCCTCTAGATTCGATGCTATCTCATTTATCGCAATCTTTCTCTGCTTCAATCTTTCATCACAATCATCATCTACAATCTCATTGCCTCTCTGCTTTTCTCCATCTTCATGAGCCACCAAACACTCTGCTTCCTTGGTTCCTTCATCGACCATAGTCTTCTTCTTCTCCTCTGCACTGTCTCCGTTTATATCACATGTTTGTCTTGCCTCTATTGGTGACACAACAATGTCATTTATTCCTCCATTAGAATCAACAAGAAGATCTTCAAAGTTCTTTTCAGGGATCAGAACTGTAATCTTCTCTGTTTCTTCTTCATCATTCTCTTCACTCTTTATGATCTCCTCTGGTGCTACAGTTTCGTCATCTCCAGAAGCAAGCTTTTGGCAAATCCCTGAATCATTTTCATCATCATCCTCAAATCTACTTCCTTTTCCAGCTGATTCAGCTTCATCTCCTCCAGTTTTCTTACTGCATTTGATCAAATGAGCAATGCTAATACTAGTATCCTCATCATCATCATCCTCACGACCTCTCTTCCGTCTCTTATGCTCTCTTGTCCTCTTCCCTAACTCTTTCTGAAACAACTCACTAAGTGGCACTTCTGTTGAAGCCAATTCACCACAATCACATAATTTGCATTTCTTTACTCTGCGTGTCCTACATCTTCTGCGTTTGGCAGCAAACCCTTCATCATCATCATCATCAGCAACTGTATTACTTGCATTAAAAGTTTCATTCGATTCTTCAGACCCTAAAAACTTTGAAACTGATTTCAACCACCACTCTCTGTATCTCGCAGTAACAGAAGTTGTAGCGAGACGAGAAGGCACATATATCTTTACACCATCAAGAGACTTATTGTAATCCTCCCATGCTTCCTTCTCTGTGAAGCTACCATGATGACCACTAACCAAACCGGGAAGATCTTGGCTAAACCCGAACTGCATCGCCACTCGATTCGGATAGTAACCTTCAACAAAACCAATCCCAACAAGCTGTTAACTCCTCACACAACGAGCAAACGAAAGAAACTCATCATCAACATCGTCATCAACAGTCATCCACGTAGCCTCTTCAAGGTAAAACCGAGGAGGGTTCCAATTCTCTAAAGGTTTAGTGTATGGCCGCCAATCAAAACCATCAAAACTCAAACTCTTCTCATTCTTCTTATCATTTTTATTTAAACAGCTCCATTGAGCAATTCTTGGTTCACCTTTACTAATCTCTCTAGCTTCCGGTCTAATGCCTCTAAACCTCTCCCATGCCCAAACTTGGACCAACTTAAACAGTGATCTGAGAACAAGACTTTTAGTAGACTTATCATCTCTAGCAAAAGCTTGAATTTGACCTAAATCTCTGTATACACTTGCAAGAACAGGAGCCGCAAGAGCAATCCTTTCACCTCTAGCTAAACGAACAGCGATAGGAAGAACAATTTTCGAAACAGAGCGACGAGACCTTTGTGGAAAGACGAAATGAGAAAGCCACATTGCAAGAAAAGCTTCATGCTCCTCCATTGTATCATCACTGTCTCTGAAACTCAACATCCACTGTACTTGACTCACTCGCCGCCCACTCTTATCCCTCATATTCTCTAGGATCTCTACCCTTGCTTTCTCCAGTTTCTCTACAGAGTCTCTCGTCTCTGAGCTTTCCAAAGGAGCAAAAACTGGAGAACCCAAAACGGAAAACCCTAGAATCACCATTACATCCTCTAACGTTATGGTTGCTTCACCCCAAGGGAAGACGAATGATTTCGTCTCAGGACACCATTTCTCAACAAGAGCTGAAATCAGAGACTGGTCTTCAACGATTTTGTATGTGGAGGTCTTGATTGCCTCAAAAATCCCAGCTTTTCTCCAAGTGGGTTCGTGTAAAGCTTCCATCTTTTTAGCCCATGATCTGAAATTACCATCTGCAAACCAAAACCCAGTGAAGGAGATCCTAGAAAACAAGTCTTCTAGATCTGATGAAGAAACAGAGTGATGGTGACGAGGAAGCTCGGCTACAGGACCATCAATGGAAGTTACATAGGGTTTTAGGAAATGGGTTTTCATCAAGCAAGGATCTTTCTGTTTTTCTACAATCGAATCCATCTGGAGAAGATGATGAAACACAGGAAAAGCTTTTTTTCCTCTGTTTACCTTTGAGACGAAGAAGATTTTAAAGTTTTGATCTTTTTTTTGTTTATCAATGTTTGAATTTTGACAGCAGAGAAGATATGTCAAAGGTTGCAGGTAGTGGAGTGTGAATGAGTAGGTGAAACAGTTTCTTTATATGGTAAACTTGAAAGAAACTAAACAAACAAATTTTACTCATAAATAGTGAGCCAACATTTAAATTTTAAAGTTCTTTTTAGATTCTCATTTTTTGTCAGTTTGTGAGCCAACTAGAACTAAGAAGTTTTGGGACTAAACCTATAAGAAATGGATTCTACAAATCATATCTGCAAAATCGATTTGATCAAGAACGAACAGAAGAGAATTAGCATTTGGATAATTCGCTTTGGTAACCGAATTTTCTTAGGATCGGTCAGATTCAACTCTGATTCAGTACAGTTTTGTTCAGTGGTACAATCATTTTAATATTGAACTTCAGGAGGTTGAAGATTCCAATTCTAACATACAGTAAGGACGTATGGTAAAATATCAGCTCTGTTAAAGTGTCCACCTTTTCCAAAGTTTCAAACTTTTCCGACACTTTTGTCTTCAAAGAATCTCAAGTAAAAAAACATGAATTTACAGTCATGGTAATTGGTATGTAACAGATGTAGCTGTTGTTCAAAACGAGATATTAAAAGAAGGTAATAAGAAATTACCAAACGTAAACAAAAGGGAACCTACTATGTGAGTTTCAGTTACTGTTGTTGATCTGAGTATCCATGTGTTGTCAAAGTTAGTGCGTAAAATCCTATTTGTAGATTGACATGTAATCCTAAAACTCATCTTCTCAACCTTCTATTCTGTGTTTCCATGTTAGTACCTCTAAGCTTTTCTTTATACAGACAATCTTCTACTTCCTTCTGTTATCAGTCTTTACCTTTCTGCAAAGCAAAGATGTAACAAACAAACAAACAAAAGAAACGAAATGGAGTGTTAGCAAAAAGGTAGCGTTTTTAAAAAAGAAGTTTCAGGTGTGTTTCATGGCAGAAATTGCTAACCTTTCACACATACACTTGTGTCTTTCTGCCTACACTGAAACCTGAAAAAGTTTGTGTAAAGAGAATATGAATGTTTTATTTAGTACCATGAAATTATAGTCAGATTTAGGGAGAGATTTTGAAGGTACCATTGCTAGGCTGATTGATCTGGTGCGGCTTCCTTACTTTGCTCGGTATCAGACTCGGTTTGGCGGGCTTCGTCAGACTTTTTGGGGGAACCAAACAAGCTCTCAGGAAGACTATTCTCCAGACTCGTCTCTTGCCTTCAGAAATGATAAATTAACCGCAAGTAAGAACTAAAGTAGAGCCTATTCTGTAACAAGAAGACTTAAAGCCTTGATTCTATCACTCGCTTACCTTTTGTAAAAATCGTTACTGTAACCACATTCTTCGCTACTGTTTGCTCCTAGCTGAAGATGTTTCTCACTTGTATCCCTATCACCTGTCAAGACTCAAGAAGAAGGGATCGATCATCAATAAAGGGCCAAAAAAAAAAGAAAGCTTAAATGTAGAGGCCAACAGCAACAACCTTCCGTGATTTCTTCAGCATTGTTTTCTGATTGAAAGAGCAGACTATGATTGAACCGAGGCGGGAAATGAGGAGGGGAGCCAATAGAAAGACTACGCTGGTGATGGTGAATAGACTCATCACTCTCCATGTCAGGCAACTGCAGATTCAAGAACCTTCTTCTCTGGAGTTCTACTTCGATTATAGCTTGTTGTAAATCAGCCTGCTGCTCAGCTTTTCTTCTCAGCATCTCCTGTGTGTGGCTTGAAAACATCCTTGGTCCTGGTAACGAAAAGACAAATGAAGAGTTACTAACTACCTCAGTAAGAAACAGTTTCTTTAACTATATCGAAACTAACCCAAGCGACAGTCATATAGTTCCCTTGAGTCCATTGCAGAAGGACTTAAAGAAGGAGAATAGTCCCCTCTCTCTATCAGCTGTTGCAGTTGCTGATGTTGCCTCTTGCTATTGATTCGCCAAACAATAATAAGTAAGGGAAAGGAAAAGTAAAGAACAGAGATCATCAAGCATTGGTACATTACCTTTGAAGGATTTTTCCTTTCTCCTTGTATGGTTTAACGAGCACACGCGAGTCACAGATGAAATGAGGGTTGCCTCGAGCCAATATGATTCTCACAGATTCAGCATTAGCGAAAGTAACAAACCCATACATCCGTTGCTGCTGATATGGAATCCTCACATCTTCCACAGTTCCAAAATTGCTACATTCATTCAAGAAGAAAACCATCACTGACTAAACAAAAAAGAAACATCCATAGCCCAAATTCTCTCCTCTCACATCATATACAGTATCCTCACATTACCTGAAATAATGGGACACGTCTGCATCGGTGAAGGTGCTCTCAGATGGAAATGTCAAGTAAATCTGTCTAGAGACAGATTCATCTCTTTCATGCCTGCTTTGACTATAATAATAGCCACCTTCTTCTCCAAACTGTCCTGATCCTTGTCTGCAACGAAACAAACCAATCACAATAAGCAAAACCAAACCAAAGCAACAGAGCTCAAAACTTCTTTGATCCCATATGTAATCCCAAATGTTACATTTTTGTGTGTAAAGTTTCAGTCTTTTAATATGCAAAACCAAACCAAGCAACAGAGCTCAAAACTTCTAGCTACAAATGAGTTCCCAAATGCAACACTTTCTGTGTGAAGTTTCAGTCTTTTACTAACCAAACAGCAAACAAACAAAGAGAGTCCAAAATTCCCAAACATACCTTTGCAAATTCCGCCTTTGGAGGAGGAATTGAGCAGCAGCAATTCTCTGTTGCCGAGCTAATTTCATCATCATCATCTCTTCTCTCTGTAAAAAGACGTAATCCATCTCACTCGGCGACACAAAACCACTAGAGGAACTGAAATCATCAACTAAACCGCCCTGTGGAAACCGATAACCGGCTCCACCAAGCCACTGCTCGTCTGATTCGAGAAAAGCATCGTTAGCAGAGTAACTCCGCTTGTGAAAATTAGCGAATGGATCCTCGTTGTTGAGGAGCGAGAAGTGGTTACTCAGTTGTTGTTGTTGCTCGTCGGCGAAATCTCCGGAAGAAGAGGCGAAAAGCGACGAACCGTCACGAAATGGGCTAGAATCGAAGTTAGGGTTACTGCTGAGAGTTCCCGAAGTGAAGGAAGAAGACAGAGGGTTAGGGTTTCTCGCGAACTCATAAAACCCATTCCTTGGAGATGACTGAGAAAATGGCTGACGACGGATATTGATGGGTCTCGAAATAGGGTTTGAAGAGAAACCGTTGGAGGAGAGACCCAAATCGGATTTAGCTTTTCGACAGAAAGTCTGTATGAGAGTGTCAGGGCCAAAAGCAATTCGAATCAAATCGCTCTGTTCCATGTCTTGCAACAGAAAATAGCCAATGATTTTGGAAGCGTTGTCTGGTTCTAAAGTTCTGATCTTTGTGAAGATAACGGAAGTTGGGTCGTCGGGATCCATGGCCGGAAAAGTTTGGATTTTTTTTTTCACAGAGAGGATGGTGAGGAAGACGAAGGAAGGGAAAAGCAAAAGGCTTTTTTTTTTTTTTTATGTCTCTGAGAATTGTGTGTGTGTGAGTAATTGGGTTTGCTTTTTAGGTTTCTGTTAAATGTCAAATGTATATTTCTTTCGGAAAATTTGTTATGATTTTGTGATTTTTATCTTTATAAAAAGCATTTAGCCGCAATATTAAAGAAAATTAAACAAATTTATTTGTTTTATTGTTCTACTATCTTTTTAGGGTTTTGAATTGTTATCGAGTTTATGAATTTTTGAAGTTCGCAAAGAGCGGGATTAGAGTGAAACAAAAAATCATTTATTTTTGCCTGATTTTTTTGATGAATTAATTAACAAATTTTTTAAAAAGATTGATTAATTGCGAGTGTGCGAGTAGTAGGCATCAACTATTCAACGCTATTCGGCTCCCCTTTTCTTGGATAAAGTAGCTTTTTGGCTTTTATTTTATTTTTTTGGCAACGCTTTTGTTTTTCATTACTTACGTTTTTTAGATGGAATGATTTTATTAGACAAATTTTGTTAATGTCCTAACTCCTAAGAATAATGTACCATACCAAAAACACAAGTAATAAAAAAACTTGTTCAATTAATGGAATGTGGCCCTTAGTGATATGCAATAGCTTAAACATGATTATGGACTTTTTCCTGGGGGAGAAAATTAAGGAAGAAGCTATTGCATATCAACTTGTATGAATACACAAGTCTACTGTTTCTTGATCAAGAAGCAAGAGATATTGATGCAAAGCCTTTCAGTGACTTCTGCTTTCCACTTATCTTCTTTAGCCTTCTTCGTTGCATTGGTGGCTAAACCACAACCCATTTGAGATGCTATATAAAACATAAAATATAAAGATGCAGATGAAATTGTGACGAAACTTAACAAAATAAACAAAATAATATAATTCTGTTAAAATTTCAAAATAGGAGGACTTATTTACAAATACCTAAAATATTAACGCATAAAGTGAATTGGTAACGCCGGCGTGGGAAGTTGAAAAGTAGTATTACGGAGGTTTATAAGAAAGAGAAAAGACATTTAGGGTTAAGAGTCAAAAGAACGAAACAGTGAGGGGAAGTTGAAAAAGTCGCCATGAAAAGGGTGAACAAGAGGTCTAAGAAACGAGACGAAAACAATGGAGCCGCAAACGTTGCAAACGACCCGTTCTCGACCATTCCTCTAGAACTGAAACTAGAGATTCTCATGAGATCGCCGCCAAGATCCATAGCCAGGCTCCGTCTCGCTTCTAAACACATGTCATCGATAATCGGCGGCAAAGACTTCACCGAGTTGTACACGGCTCGATCTTCATCTCAGCCGCGCCGTCTTCTTTTCTCAGTCCACCGTGGCAGCGACAAGCAGCAGACGCACTTCTTCCACTCCTGCTCTCTGGATGATCCGTCTGATTCCGATCATCATGATAATGTTAGTTACACTATGGATCCGGATCTACGGTATTCATTTTCTCCACCCATCCGCGGCTTGATCTGCGGGCGAAATGGTATCAAAATGATTATCGGAAACCCTAGCACGGGTCAGTTCGTTTTGTTACCAAGAATCAAAACGAGGAAGAAAGACATCTTCTCTGCCTTTGGATATGATCCGGTTAATAATGTTTACAAAGTGCTGTGCATGACGCTGAAAACCAAACGTGGAAACCCTCATATTATATCACGAGACATGCTTTGGGATGATTATCTGTGGGAGGATATGTCGGAAGAGCATCAAGTTATCACTGTAGGAGCTAAACAGAAATGGAGAATGATCGAATGTAAGTATCTACATCGTCATGATTCTGGATCGGTAGGGATATGCAGGGATGGTGTTGTGTATTATCTAGCTTCTTACAAACAAAAACGTTCTCTGATGAGCTTTGATCTGAGCTCTGAAGAGTTTAATGTTACGAAGCTACCGGAGGATTATCATCTTGAACAGTTTGGTCATATGGTGAATCATAGTGGAAAGATAACTATAGCGAGTATGGCATATGGTGGACCAATTGACCTATGGGTGCTTGAAGATGTCAAGAAACAAGTATGGTCAAAATCTGCTAAAGTGGTTCCTTCTTGCCGAGATATATTTAGGGAGAATGATCAATTCATGTTCAAGGGTATACTTGGTACTGGAGAGATCATATTCTCACCGATCCCATCACCTAACCCTTTCTTTTTTCTTTGTTACGATCCCAAGGAAAAAAATGTTAGAAAAGTTTTTGTTCAAGGAATTGGAGATGATGAGTCTGCTGCTATCCAAGTTCAACTCTTTTTCGATCATGTAGAGAGTTATATGTTTCTGTGAAAGGTATGTTAATCCGTCCATGAAGCCTGAGCTTTCTCTTTTGTTGCTCATGTTTCATTTCAGTTCTTGGATTGTAGTAGTTTATGACTCTTTCCTTATTACTGGCTAGTCATCAATTATGGCTTTGTGTATGCTTGTGGATTATATATGCAACATGACTTAATTAAAAAATTTGGTTTTGTGTGGAGCTAAAATTTTGGGTTTTGTCTTTTTATATTTGGATCTTAATTCTTCATCATCGTTTTGGTTGCCTTTTAAACTTTGTTTGACGGACAATGTTGATTATGTATGTGTGTGTGTGTGAAAAAGGAAGAAGCTAAACCATATCAACTTCTGTGAATAGGTCAATTAGTCTACTGTTACTTGACGAAGAAGCAAAACACATTAATGCAGAGAAGTTGCATTATGTATGTTCATTTCTCAAAGTACCGGCTCTAAACTTTTATTTATTTATTTGGGGTGTCGAACAAAAAAAGTGAAGACTGTCGTACATTGGAAAATTCATATTGTAACTAATTTCTATTGAATTTTGAACGGAACTTTCATGAGTAGACATGATTCAGCTGTTTCTTACTATTTCGGCTCCACAAAAACTTCTTTGCATCATTGTGTTTTTTACTTTTCTAGATCAAGTAACAGTAGACTCATGCTATGACACATACATTACACAAAACATCTTAGCGAAACAGGTAATAGAAACTTTCCTCTCTAACTAGTAACCATACAGCAATTCCACTCTTTCCGTATTATTAATTTCCTAATTCCAACTTATTCAATATATTAAACCATCATGTGTTTTTCACCTAGTCTAGCCGTGAAAAGTGAGGGTTGTTAGGTTGATTTGTTACACAATTTTTTTATTTATTTTTGGTCAGCAAAGATATTAACCAGGGCCTAGAGTAAAACGGAAAGAAAGGGAACGTATCATACATGAACTGAAAAGCGTCATGAAAAGGGTCAGGAGGAAAGAGACGATCGGGAACAATCATCAACTATGTCTTACAAAGAAACGTAAAGAAAGCGACGAGCCGACGATGAAAAAGGAATCGATCCGTTTTCAGTCATTCCTCTTGATCTGATAATAGAGATTTTCCTAAAAATCCCGACCAGATCCGTAGGCAAGCTCGTCTTCGTTTCAAAACAATGGTCATCGATACGATAATCCAAGGCAAACATTTCACCATGCTGTACATGGCTCGATCTTCAACTCGGGCGCATCTTCTTCTCACAGTCTTCCATAACTACCTGAATGAGCAGTTCTTACAACTTTGCTCCCAGGAGGATCCATCTTCTGATCGTCTTAGGGTAAACGTATCTCGTCATCCGACTCGTATAGATGATTTTTCTCCACCCGTCCACGGC